TATCCATCCCCTGTATTAATAAAGACTACCGGCGAGATGTGTCCATCCCCTGTATTAATAAAGACTACCGGCGAGATGTATTCATCCCCTTTATTTATAAAGACTACCGGCGAGATGTATCCATCCTCTGTATTGATAAAGACTAATGCCGAGATGTATCCATCCCCTGTATTAATAAAGACTACCGGCGAGATGTGTCCATCCCCTGTATTTATAAAGACTACCGGCGAGATGTATCCATCCCCTTTATTTATAAAGACTACCGGCGAGATGTATCCATCCTCTGTATTGATAAAGACTAATGCCGAGATGTATCCATCCCCTGTATTAATAAAGACTACCGGCGAGATGTGTCCATCCCCTGTATTTATAAAGACTATCGGCGAGATGTATCCATCCCATGTATTTATAAAGACTACCGGCGAGATGTATCCATCCCATGTATTTATAAAGACTACCGGCGAGATGTATCCATCGCCTGTATTTATAAAGACTACCGGCGAGATGTATCCATCCTCTGTATTGATAAAGACTAATGCCGAGATGTATCCATCCCATGTATTTATAGACTACCGGCGAGATGTATCCATCGCCTGTATTTATAAAGACTACCGGCGAGATGTATCCATCCTCTGTATTTATGAAGACTACCGGCGAGATGTATCCAGCCCATGTATAGATAAAAAAATGAAGAGATGTATAGCGTACCGACAATCTTAAAGACGAAAGGGTGTATAGCTTCCCGATGGTCATAAAGACTAACGGGTGTATTGCTTCCCGACAGTCCTTAAGACGAAAGGGTGAATAGCTTCCCGACAGTCCGAAAGACTAACAGGTGTAAAGCTTCCCGACTGTCTTAAAGACTTAACGGGTGTATAGCTTCCCGGCAGCCCTACAGACTAATGGGTGTATAGCTTCCCGACAGTCCTACAGTCTAATGGATGTATAGCTTCCCGACAGTCCTAAAGATTATCGGGTGTATAGCTTCCCGACAGTCCTACAGTCTAATGGGTGTATAGCTTCCCGACAGTCCTAAAGATTATCGGGTGTATAGCTTCCCGGCAGCCATACAGACTAACGGGTGTATAGCTTCCCGACAATCCTACAGTCTAATGGATGTATAGCTTCCCGGCAGTCCGAAAGACTAACGGGTGTATAGCTTCCCGATAGTCCAGTGGAAGGTCAGACCGAGTGTAATCTCATCGCTTCCAATGAACTACGCTTCAAAAATCTTCAGACAAAAAAGAAATGAAAATAAAATCGTAAAAAATATGGTTTGAAAATATAAACTTGTATCAAGGTGAGAACAAGTACATGGAAAGATTAGTTTGACGTTCCGTCTAAAACACGTGTACATCGTATTTTGAACATTGTAAAATAGAAATCTAAGTTTATAAAATACAAATCTTAATATTTCATTAATCCAATCATTGTTTTGCTTCATCAAAGATCGATACATTATGCTGTAATGTATGCCGTGAATGGGAGTAAAACTGAAGTTTGCTGTGTCGACTGGAGTCAATAATCTAGTGATTAATACTATTCAACAAGGTAGGCGTTATAGGTGCAAATAACGTGTCTACGGCTGCATTCCATCACCTTAAGCACACTGTCTGTTTTTATAATTATTAATTTATATCATCGCCAACTTTTGCCAAAATATTACTCATTCAATGTCTACTCCTGACTTTAAATGTTCACGATTTTAAAGTGGGCTGCACAAACATGGACAAAATTACGAGAGGTCAAAGACTCACGAAAATCTCATTTAAAATGGGTCATCGGTGTCGTAAACAAGGTTTTCTAATAAACATCAATCATTTCATACCACTAGACAGACGAATTCCAAACATTTAGAAGTAATACACTAATTTAGTAATCCTCTTTATTTCACAAGGCATGCATATTGTGCAGTACATCTATACGATTATGTACAACTGTCCTGGTTTAATTCATAATTTGACTCGTCTCATGAAAAATTCCCTACAAAATGCTACTGGTATTTCCAACTTAAAATCATTTACTCTTGTTGACCCGGATGGAAATGCGCGAGGGGTCTTTCTGTGGGAGGAAACCGGAGTACCCGCGGAATACCCACGTGGTCATGCCGGTGACCCCATCTTTACATGTCCGTTCCAGGAATCGGACCACGGACGTCTAGGTAAAAGGCATTGGTGTTACCGCTGCGCCATCCGACATGTACTGCTTTAGACCTGCAAGCCGCGAGTGGGACAGAGAAAAAGCTCATTCAACTCGTCTGATCAACTGCAGACTCGACGAAAATTATATCCTTCCTTCTATCGGAAAATGGCATACATCATCGGACCCAGAAGACGGCCATCACAACGGGATTATCCCACACAATAGTATAGAAACATGTTGAAAGAACAATTAGTTTCGATACGACAACCTTCATCAAACTCCCCGTGCAGGAGTCTGTGGTGCAAGATGTCGCATCTATTTCACATTCTGTCCGAAGTCCTCTCGCACCCAGAAAGGACGACTGGACAGATATGAGAGGACGCCTGTGACGAATCCATCGTGTCCGTCAATGCAATACTGAGGTATTTTCTTTCATATAAAAATGTTTTTTATCATGTCCTTTCCATATGATTTATAACGATTTCATGTTGCATTCGTTTACTTGTTGAGGGAAACAGATTTTGGTATGGAAAGCTCACAGACGTCACCTCAAGGATATAGTTTTACTTACCGCGTTCAGCTTCTTTCATCTCCACAGTCTGCAAGTACATCGCGCTTCGCCTTAATTGTAGTTCCCTTTGTCGCTGCAATAAAGGCCTCTTTCCCGACGAGCTGTTGATACGGAGAACGTTTTTAGCGTTGTTACTCAACGCATCTTGTAATGAAAACTGACAATGCAAGTTAAAATGCTTACATGTTGAGATCAAATGTTTTCCTTTTCAAAATGCTTCGGAGATGCCCCCTGTGCTAACGATACTTCCATTCAAAGTATCTAAGGAAGTGGAGACATTTTTGTTCAAACCCTGCTTGGAAACGCAAACTCCCCAGTGTTCATTGAACACATGCATGTGCACCAAACACTTCTCACGACAAATTTTATTGCTTCACTGAAACGCTTTAAAAAATGATCTTTGACTTTTAAATCTTGGTCCTGTAAATGCTTGACATGTAAAACATAAGCAAACTGATGACCTACTGCCGATCGTGTGAATTTCACTAGAAAACTTTTTTTCAGATGGAGAAAAGTAGAGGGGGTTATTTTTGTCTCCTGTAAGAACAAGGTAGGGTTTACGGTGTTATGAATTTATTTTTTGATCCTGCAAAATGTACAGCTCCTTTTAATTGTGTACATTGAAAGGCTAATAAAAATTATTTCTGTTTTTTTTGGAAATATTATCTTTTTGTTGTAGACATCTGTTCAGCATACATTTCCAAGTTCTGCAATTACTCGGAAGAAAAAATTAAGGCATTGCAATTATGTCCTTATATCTTCATCTGTATATATAGAGGTGTTGCATTGCCCTTTCATTGAAATAATTATCAGTGGTTTGACACGGTTGTTTGGGTTGGTTGGTTGCAGGATATCCGTCTCCCTGACTCATCCGATCTTCAGGCGTTGTCTCACTGACAACCGCCGGCATTCTGGCAATGTGTCATCGGCAGATTAAACAGTTTTTATGTCCACTTTTGAGGCCTTTTTTTGGGACGACACATTTATTGGAAATAGAGTAAATTGGGATAAGTATGTCACCAGTTTGACAGGTTGAAGGCTTCATATCCGTATACGTTTCCAAGTACGACTTAGACTAAAATGTCTGCCACTTCCTTGGATGCGACAACCGGATAATATCATTAGCATATTTGGAAGGTCTCAAAAGCATTCTAAAAAAATCTTATCTCAACAAGAAAGTTTGTATCATGTATTGTCAGCTTCAAATTATATACAGTTGTATCCAATAACTTGAAATGCTGTGAACTTATTAACAATGAATCATTAATATGCTTCAGTTTGCAAACCATTTTGGATTTCATTTATGCTTATTACTTAAAAAAAGGGACAGTTCCATTACATATAGAAAAGTTTTTGACAGGATTTGTAGTAACTTCTCAGAAACAATATTTCGAAAGCGTTCTTACTTGCATTACATTTAGGTTCTAAATCATTAGGCTAAAACTATTGATCATGACTCTTCCCAATCTGATCACGATACAACAAAGCTAAGAGATTTTCCTCAGTGGTGATGTCTCCTGTCCTAGAAACCTAATGATGTTTCAGGAGATTCAAAATGTCCCTTTACACTACAAAGAAGTTCATACATACAGAACCATATAGGGAACTTTAAAAACAATCCCTTGCAGAAGAGTTTTACACTCTAAGTATAAAGTGTCCCCTGACATATAACAAACAACATACTATTCGTATCTTTATTTCTCTTTACACTTTTTTTAAAATGCAATAATATCATAAACAGATAGTTTCAAAATCACAGTAAATCTGAACCTTTCCACCTCCTCCTTCAGTGATTATCAATCCTGCATTCATGCTTGTACACAATGAATAGATATTTCCTGATATAATTTGCTCAAAGTTGTCCTCCATTACAGTCACTTGATTTCTACTTGTCTTGTTGACACAGGAATTGTGATCCTGAAACAGACTAACAAAATACCTGCAACACAAATAATGTTTAGCATTACATCTATCCAACAAAGAGAGTGACTATATAAAGTATTTCTTACCAACCTACAGTTTTTGCAGTGGTGTCCATGGTATACAGGTGTGTTGTTCCATCATAAGCAGCTAAGTCTGAATCTGATATTTATACAAACCCCGGTGTAAATTTTACAGCAAATGTGGTATGCATCTCAGGTGTATATCCAAGTTATTTCCAAAATGACCTGAAAAACACTAGAAACAAAAATCTGCAAAAAAAACTTATAATTAGTACAACATGGATAAGTTACCTAAGGTTCCTTGGTGTAAACAGATAACACATATAACACATAACACAGACTACCTGTGGATCCAATTTCTTATTCTCCTCGTTGTCTTCATCCATCTCAAAGTAGAGTTCTGTCTTGGTGATTGCCATTGTCCCGTTGACCGTCACCCCAGGAGCTATCAGCTTACATGTGGTCGACAAAGCTACAGGGCCTGACAAAAAAAATTAGAAACTTGATGTCATTTGGTTAAAACTTGTTTATATCAAATACAGACCTCTAAGTTCCAAGTGCATTTAAAAACAATATTATAGTAACCCACTGTTTGTATGAAACAATTACAAAGTATATAGAGGATATTTAATAGTGTCTTCAACGATATTAATTGTGTCTAAAATTTTAAAATCTTTCATGAGTGCACATCTATTTATTACATTTTGACAAGCAAAATAGTCAAATTACTGGCACATTTAGGAGCGATATATTATTATGAAGCTGACTAGGCTTTTCATGGACACTACTCGCTCATTATAACTTTGCAGTATGCAACAAAATGCAGTCTATTTTTAAAAAAAAATCATTAAAGACATGTGAACACAAAAATAAATTTACATAGAAATGATGCTTATTCATGTCACCAACAGACAAAATTTGCTGTAAAAAGTTCTGAGAGAGTTTAACTTGTGACAAGTTACTATGCAGCTGAAAATTTGGCGGCAACCTACAGCTGTCACTGTAGATGACACAAATCCCCTTGAAATGTCTAACGTGTCAGCTCCATATTCAAGACGTTCAGTTGGGGATTGGAATTGCTGAATTTCATAGTTTCTGGCTTTGTGTTTTTGTACCAAGCTTTATAATTCGTGAATTTTATAAGATAATTTGTGTTCTCTCTTTTCAATGGTGTAAGAAATGTGAAAAATAACACTTTTATCAATGTGACATTTCTCTATATTTCCTATGACAATGCAATCTTTGTTATTACTTCTCCTGGCATGTAGCTGTAGTGAAGACATAAACGCCAATGACACAACAAATTAACCTTACTATAATTTACATTAGAACACTTACCAAGTCCTGGTTTACCAGTAATAATATCTCTGCAGATCTAATATAATGATTAAAGTGACCTGTCATATACTAGTCCTTGTATACTGGAGAACAATACATCTATAGACCTATTGTAATAATTAACCTTACAATACCTGCATATTCTTGCTCAAAGTCCCGTTCTTCCATGAGCAGCTCCTCATCTGTGTAGTCTGGTGTCTGTTGTGACCGTTTGGTAGAAGCTAGGTGGGCGTGGAATGCCTCCCGAGCCTGGTTAATAGCATCCTCTGTTGCTCCTGAAATAAAATGGTCATTTTCTGAAGTAGTTATCACTTTTGCCAAATTATGCTAAAATCACAAAAGTTATTGTGCAGATCAAAACAATCATTTTCGAAATTACACAAAATACCTTCAACTTACATTAACCAGCTTTAATTTACTGGTAATTTATCACACATACGTTATACAATGTATCATATTTATGTTTTAATTGTCAGTTATGTGTTTGGACCTTTTTTGTTCTATCTTAAATGAACTTTGTACTATATGAGTTTTGGATTACTAGTAGTTTTACCACATAAAGATATATACACACACACAAACTTTAACAACTTGAATGCACACTTTACGTTAATTGCATGATTTCACCTTTTTCAACTTAAATACTACAGTGGGATAACATGACTAAACCTTCCATATTTACAAAATTTGATGGATCTTACAATTGGTAATATTCAACAAATGTTCTGCTCTGTTTCATAACCCTGCAGTATGTCATAAAATTTTGTCAGTGTGTTAGAACATAGTCTCAGCCTGTCAGCTGGTGTATACTGACTCACCGTGCTCTATTGCAGCCTTGAGAGTGGCGTCAGGGTGAGAGGAACCGTTGGGATTTTTAACGAGTCTTCGCCGCCTCCTGGAATCATCCTCCCATACATCCAGTTTCCAATGCTCAGTTTTCCTGTACAAAAACACAAAAACAAGTGTGTATAACATTCTTTGAGTTCCTCTTTTTATCCAACAATAAAAGGTTGATTAATGCATCAGTACCCCATCTTCACTATAATTACTTCCTTACATAATTTGTCTTCAGTGACAATGACATTGCAGATTAATCATATTTATTGTCATTTCAAAGCAATCTGTCCCCATTTTTCAATAAGGATTTATAGTTGGTAACATCATAATGACAATAAACAATGTCTCCATAACGAACAGAAAAAAAAAACATATGTATAAAATTCAATTAAGGGGTTTAGGAAAATCCTTGCTAGAATATTTATCCAAATACAGTGGAACCCACTTAATGTCACATCTGTTAATGTCACTTTACAATAAATATAACATTTTCTTGAAACACCCATATGATCTGATAATGTCACTTATTTTTATGTAGGCAACGCTGAATATCACTTCATTTTGCCGACCCTCACAAAAAACTACAGGCAAATCACAGGTAAGTAAGGACAGGAACAGGAAATGCACTGTGTAAAAGATTTTTTAAAAATTGATAATTATCATCGTAGAACATTATATAACATCTGAATCAAAAAGACACGATCATATTGGTTTTGGATGCCTCACCTCTTTGATGAGTTACCCCAAGCTCCATGTTTGTTTGATAGTATGTTGAGTATTTTATCCCTTAGTTTCACAGCGGCTACATGATCTCTACGCTTGGCAGATTTTATAAGATGGTCACAGAGTTTTTCTTCCTCCTTTCTGTCCAACATAGTCTGGGCTCCAAGAGACTGGGAAAAGAACAATAGTTTTACATAACCTAGGCTCCTTCGCAGAGACACTGGACAAGGTTCCACATTTAAGTCTCCTCTTTGAATATTGCAAACTTAAAGAAATTCTTAGAAATGAGACAAAGTTATTCCTGACAAGAATGGTATTTGAAGACAGGCAGGGCTTATCATAGATTTCTGTCCCAGTAAACAGAATATATTGTATACAATTACTACCAGTAAACAAACTGTTGTAGTTTTCTCCCATGATTAAATAAGTTCCTGCAGCCCTTAGTACCTACCTCAAACTCCGCATGTTTCTGGACATCTTCAGCTCTCATCCTATTCAGAATGAATTCTGCCTCATTTGCCACACGTACGATGTGGTCTCTGGTTGCATGCGCTAACAGTCTGAAATATATCATGTGTCATAGTTTAATTTTGAAAGTTGAAGACAGTAACTTTGAAGTAACCATCTGTGATTAAAACATATACATCATGATCTAGAGATGCACCTGGAAAAGCTGGTCATAGTGACAGCAAAAATGGCACAATGATAGCAGTTACATATGTGGATACTTCTGATTGGTTGAAACCAGATTACAATACTAGTACTAAGGAAGATAGAGACAATATTTGGCTGCTAGAATTATATGGTGCAGTGTTGACTGTAAAAAGCTTAATATCTGAACAGTGTTCCACATCTGATCTGATCACTAATTGAAAAAAAACAGGAATATCCTGATTGGTTAAAAGGGAATACAATGATTGGTTAAAAACAGGAAAAAGCTGATTGGTTGAAAAAAGAATACAGTTCTTAAGACTTCTCACCATTCAGTATTCAAGGAGGAAGTAAAATACATGATGACTAATCTTCTACATGGAGATTTTATCTAACATGGAAACCCAGTTGTTATAATACTACAAATTTTACATATATTTTTTGCTGAATGCATTGTTCTGACCTACCTTCCCTCATTGACTAATTCTATAAATGCAAGACCAGCATGCTTCTGTAATGAGTTCTGCCACTCCTGGGAACACAGTAACATCACCAGTTCTACCACAGATGTACTCTGCTTCAAGGTCACCAGGCCTAAAGGTCAAGGTCAATGTTTTATAATAAGTGTCCATTACAAATCATTTTATAAGCCAATTTATCTTGATGGAAATGATAGGAAATAATATTGGTTTTCTCATGTGCAAATCTTTTTACATCTTATTCATCAAAGTACATTTATTCCTTACCTCCAATAAGAAGTTCTTGTCCATGTGATCCTATCAGTGTTTTAGACAAGAATGGTGCGAAATCCACGAATATCTCCCTAAGTAGAGGTGCAACTGGCCCCAGTGCCCGTTCCAGCCGTTCAGTTAATGAGCCTCCCTCCCCAGGAAGTGAGGGTAAATTATCTACAGGCATCGGCATTTTAGCTGCATCCAAATCTAACTTTTCAAGCTGTGGCTTCTGTTCACGGTTACTGTGGACATCTACAGTAATGGCAGAAATTGGCAAATTGTCTGGCTTGCTCTGAGTATCATCCACACGCTGACTTACTGCAACTGGCTGAGATTCCTTTGTAGGATCAGGACTCTTCTGCTGAACTGCCTCAGCTTCCTGACCCTCTGATTCAGGCCTTTCTCCTGAAATCACAAAATGAAGTTAACAACAACCTATCAGATGCAATTTTTCATTTGAAATAATTGTAAAGCAGTACTACAACATGGTTTTGAGGTTTAGAGGTACATGTTCCAATAAAATAACAAACCTAACTACATACTGTCTGCATACGGTACAATATTATTTTAAGAACCCCCCCCCCCACCAAACTTCCCCATCCTGCGTACCCTCATTTCCCTGGTGTGTTCTGTCTGTGTCACTCCCATCCTTACCTCGCCTTTTCCTCCTCTTGTGTACCCCCATTTCCTTGGTGTGTTCTGTCTGTGTCACTCCCATCTTTACCTTACTTTTCTCCTCCCCGTCCTGTGTGTCCTTGGTGTGCACTGTCTTTGTCACTCCCATTTTAACTTACCTTTTCCCCATCCTGTGTAGCCACATTTCCTTGGTGTGTTCTGTCTGTGTCACTCCCATCTTTACCTTACTTTTCTCCTCCCCATCCTGTGTACCCACTACACTATGTCCTTGGTGTGCACTGTCTTTGTCACTCCCATTTTAACTTACCTTTTCCCCATCCTGTGTAGCCACATTTCCTTGGTGTGTTCTGTCTGTGTCACTCCCATCTTTACCTTACTTTTCTCCTCCCCGTCCTGTGTACCCACTACACTATGTCCTTGGTGTGCACTGTCTTTGTCACTTCCATCTTTAACTTACCTTTTCCCCATCCTGTGTAGCCACATTTCCTTGGTGTGTTCTGTCTTGTTACTCCCATCCTTACCTTACCTTTCCCCTTCTTGGCCTCCTCCTGTATACCCTAAATTTTCTTGATGCTTACTCTCTCTGTCTTTTCCTCTTTCCCTTTCTCTCATTCATGCTTAACCTCACTCCCCTAAAGTAAGTTAACCTTACTCCCCTAAAGCAAGTTATCAGGGTTACACATATTTTTTTCCCTTCTTCTATTTCCTGTGCAGCTCCCAAGGGAAAGGTTGTATGTGAGTCACATCTATCCTAACCTTTCCTGCCTTCTTCCTCCTGTGTATCCTCATTCCCCTGGGGTGTGCTCTCTAGGTCACACCTATTCTTACCTTTATCTTCCACGTCCTCCTGTGTAGCCTCATTCCCCTGCGGTGTGCTCTCTAGGTCACACCTATTCTTACCTTTATCTTCCATGTCCTCCTGTGTAGCCTCACTCCCCTGGGGTGTGCTCTCTGGGTCACTTCCTCCATCAGCTTCCTCTTTCTCTTCTTGCTCATCCTCAGGTTTATCTTCTGCTTTCTGTTCATCAGCAGCATCTTCTTCACTTTTTTCTTTTTCTTGTTCTTCCTTTTCATCATCTTCTTTGTCTTCTCTCTCTTCTTCGGCTTCCTCTGCTACTTTGTCTGTAGACTCTTTGTCTTCTGAAGCATCCTCATCTTCCTTCTCATCAACTTCCTCTCCAACATCAGCCGAGTCAGTAGTTCTGTTAAGGTCAGTACTGGACTGGTCAACAGACTCGGAGTCTTCATCGTCTACAACAACCACATGTCATTCACATGGGTACTAGGCTAGTCACAGGTAATATACAATGCTAATTAAACTAGGGTAGAATGACATGTGAAATAATCATATGAAACATTTAAAAAATCTTACCCAGGACAAAACCTCACAACAATATTTTTAACTCAGCAATTTCAAAATTCAAATTTTGAAATTAGTTGTGTGAAGGATTTTTTAAGATGCAAAAGAGATGCCACACATCAGATGCAGAAGCAGAGAGAATTGTATATGGTGCACCAGTACTGCTGAAATTGTCATGCCATAACATAAAATGATATTTAAACTTTTAAAATACTCTGACACAATTTTCCATACATAGAATGTCAGCATATGTATTTTTAAATTTTACTTTCAATATTTCTAACATACATAGAACATTTTCATGTTTCCAAACAAAAAGATAATGCTGAGAGAAAGTGATACTAATCTATGTATGATAGTGGTCAATATATGCTTGACCATTGTCCATTATTATACTGACCGAGCCATGTCATTTGTAAGCTGCTTTGAATGCTTCTCCTTAAAGCCATATTGTCCCCTGAAACTGGCTCATCTGAATGTTGAAAAAGTCTAAGATTCAGAAACTTGCTTATTCATTACCGTTAAAAATTTGCAAAAAAAGAAAAAGAAAAAAAAGGGGAAAAAAAATCTGTTTTAGTATTCTGATTATATAGGCATGTTAAAGGAAGTTTAAAACCTGCATCTCTGAAACATTGGATTAGAACCAGAAAAGTGGGAAGGAAAAAAGTCACCATATTATTAAAGTTTGAATTTTAGTTATTTTTTCAGTGCCCCTAACCCAATAAAGTAAGAAAAGTGAAATTGAAAGAAAATGCAACCATTTAAATGTGTTAGTTTCTCATGTTTAGCAATATTAACATTTATGTAAAGTTTGAAAACATTCACCACATGAAGTTGAAAAAAAAAAGTTCTAGTTTTAGGAAAACCCTTCAAGACTGTGTTAGTTATTTTATTTTAAAACTTTGCTGCCTGTTTCTACCACGTTAGATTGTCAAATTTTCATTAGGCTGTGGTGATACTCCAGTTTTTTCATTAACCACATTAAAACACATCAGTTTAATGCTCTTTTCTGGGTTATTTTAGTGGATTAGAACTAAAAAAATCAGCACACAGATTTACGACAATTTATTTCAAATTTAATAAAATAATTAAAATATCCAACTCAACTTGCAGTAAGTTTATTTCTTTTTTATCTATCTAAAACTTTTCTTCTGAAAATAATTTTTTATTGAACATTTTAATTTGTCAACAATATTCTTTTTTTAGATATATTTTATTCAATCTTTGAAATACATTTAATTTTCTAACCATGACTATTATTTGATCTGTATTAATACTAGTAAACATCTGGGATCCTTACTCCATTTTCTAATCTACTTGTCATTTCTGCTTCCATAAATATAACTAATACCTATGTTGGTTTTTGGGGTTTTTTTAACTTTTAAATAGATACTATTCTAAATCGCCTGACTACAAAAAATGATCTCCAAACAACATGGAAAAATGATAGTAATGATTCTAATACAAATTATGCAAATAAATAAAATTCTTGAGAAAGACATCAGTAATGTATGACCACTGACAGACTATGTATACATCCAGTGTTTGGTTAAGATAATCATATTCTATTGTATAATCTAGCAGAGTATATAGAGTATATTTATATACTGTGATATGACAGCTGGCTGATGGTAAGTTATTGTTTGTTTTATATTTCAGATATAAGTGATATTCAGATGGACAATGTGGCTTTAAAAAGCTCCATACAAAGGAACTTGGGTATTTCAGTCAATGAATTACTAAAATGATGTAGTACTGGCAATACACTGCACTGCATATACAATTAAAACTGCCGGGAAGATGTAACAGGGAGGGGCTAAGAGCCGGGGAAATCTACATTACATTGTGTAAGACAGGTGCACTAAGGTTTGACAAGACAGGTTTGAAAACATAACACATGATCAGGGAGACTTACTGCTAGCATGTTAGATGGGATGAATGTGGAGGTATAGGACAAGGCATGTCGGATAAAAAAAATATATGTCTGACTGAAGTAGTTTCCATTGCAAGGGAGGTAACTACAGGAAATTGGTTACAGGCTAAATACATATAAGTTATAACAAAGTTATAAATTTTGAAATTTTGGTCACAACCAAGGTGATGCCTGCTTTGTTTGGACAGGATCAGTATGTTATATTACAACATGATATTATATTCTTTTGTGATACAACACATACACAAACACCCGGGTAAGCACTTAAAAGTAGAGCTATCCAGCAAATAAAATATGTCTATCACATATATACCCAGTCAGCATATATACTAAGCAGTCCATTAAAACGTGTTGGGACAATACCATCTACCACAATGAACATTTAATAGGAGGTTATGAGGAAGTCAAAGGTAAGCTTGATATGAAAATTGTATAAAGACAAGGAGCCAGTTACCTTGGATACTGGGCAGGGTATATAATTGTAATTATAAGGTCAGTGTCTAAAACTTGTGACATGGTTTTTGAAGAAATTTTGTTCCTTTTAATCTCACAATTAGCTTTAGTAACATGCATCTTAGCATACTATCAATGACATGCATCCAGCAGGCTGAAGGTCAAGGATTCCTAGCAACCAGCTACAGGTCAAGATCATCCAACCACAAAGCTATAGTCACACACCAAAAAGTGAAAGGTCAAGGTCAAAACCCATCATATCTCCATTCAAAGACTCCAAGAATGACATGCATGCCTTAGGTCAAGCATTAGGGTCACACACCAAAGAAAGTCAACAAACATCTAGCTAAAGAGCAAAGGTAGACATGTCATGCATTCAATTATAACAATAATTTTAATCATATCCACAAAATTGAAAATGAAATGAAAAAGAAAAAAAAAAAAAAAAAATATGCGCATATTCACACTACATCAAAATCTGAAACTGTCTTCACATTGAAGTTTTTGTGTATATATACAATTATGGATAACTGTCCATATACCCTGTTCTTTGTATAGTATAGAACTATAATAAATTTTCAGGAAATGAAGTAAACCCTGGTCATTTATGATGACACAGTTGTGAATTCCTATAGATAAAATCAAAGACTGAACTTCGAGAGAAGACATGGAACCCTAGAGATCAGAGATAGAACCCTAGAGATCAGAGATAGAACCCTAGAAATCAAGATAAAACCCTAGAAATCAAAGACAGAAATCAAAGATAGAACCCTAAATTCAAAGATAGAACCCTAGAAATCAAAATAGAACCCTAGAGATCAGAGATAGAATCCTAGAGATCTTCTCGTTCTACAACCTACATACCAACCAATAGTGGACTTTGATTACAATGTATAAGGACATATTTATCAAAGACTGCCATGTTGTTATTGACCAGTCAGTATCATTATAAAGTATATACTTTGTATGGTAGTTAGAGAGATGAAGACTATACACATGGAGTATTTCATACAGGTGTTTTGTATGGTAGTTCGAGAGATGAACACTGTACACATGGGGTATTTCATACAGGTACTCTGTATGGTAGTTACAGAGATGAACACTGTACACATGGGGTATTTCATACAGGTACTCTGTATGGTAGTTACAGAGATGAACACTGTACACAAGGAGTATTTCATACAGGTACTCTGTATGGTAGTTACAGAGATGAACACTGTACACATGGGGTGTTTCATACAGGTGTTTTGTATGGTAGTTCGAGAGATGAACACTGTACACATGGGGTGTTTCATACAGGTACTTTGTATGGTAGTTACAGAGATGAACACTGTACACATGGGGTGTTTCATACAGGTGTTTTGTATGGTAGTTCGAGAGATGAACACTGTACACATGGGGTTTTTCATACAGGTGTTTTGTATGGTAGTTCGAGAGATGAACACTGTACACATGGGGTGTTTCATACAGGTGTTTTGTATGGTAGTTACAGAGATGAACACTGTACACATGGGGTGTTTCATACAGGTGTTTTGTATGGTAGTTACAGAGATGAACACTGTACACATGGGGTGTTTCATACAGGTATTTTGTATGGTAGTTACAGAGATGAACACTGTACACGTGGGGTATTTTATACAGATATATTTTTGGAACTGATACAGTCAATGATCAACAGTCATTCATCAATCTGTGAAATACTAGATTCAATGAATTTAGAATGGTCTTAAAATTGTCAGAGATTAACTGATTAAAACAGGCAGAGATTAAAGTAATGAACAAAAGAATCAAGTTTGATGAAAGAACGAGAGACCAATTAATAATGGCCATACACAGCATTTCCAGTACCAGTTAAAACTGGTGAAAGAATAAACCCAATAGAAAAATAAGATAGAAAATAAAATCTTATCCATTCCAAAAAAAAAAAAAAATTGATAGTCCTGAAACTGACATGCATATAGTAACATGACACCGAGTAACAACATCAATAATTGGCATTAAGCAAGGGGAGGTAATGCAATGGGTAATTTCCACAATGTCTGCAAGGAGTCGCCCATGAAGTGCAATTTTTGTTTTTAAGAATTACCATTTTGAGTTGTCTTAGGAACTTCTGAAAAAAGAGTGGAAAAGCAAAGATGTCTACTTTTAGTAAGTGTAGCTTCATCATAGCAGATTCATTCAGTAATATTTATAGATACAAGTTTTCTACATTAGAGAAATTAATTAGCTAGCGCTAGAACAAATCATAAGCCAAACTGGTGCCTCAGAACCAATCCAGAAAGAAAATGTATTACCTGGTAATATCTTAGGTACATGTACTTGTATATATGATAGATAGGCTTCAGCATCAATCATAACTCTAGCTTTATCTAAGTATGATATATTTGGCATATAACTATCTATAGCAACTGATTTAAATATGAGCTAATTATTGACTTTCTATCAATTCTACAAAACAATCAACAGCATTAGGAAACAGTTAACTCTGACCAATAAATCTATGTAAAAGTTTGCAAGAAAAAGGATTTTTTTTTTGTCAATTAGGCTCATAAAGATAATATGTATGGTTAATTAAGAAATATCTTAGTACGTTATGTAGGTGTATAATATTGAGAATGCCAAAACACAAGTGATGGCAATATCATAGATCTCATGTGTTGGAGGCAGAATAATCAACACATAGAGCATGTTAGTCTTTTGATGTCATGAAAAATGAAGAATCAGATATCAGAAATCTTACTCCTCGTGTTGAGAATTTCTTGTTGTCATCACACAATTGTCACTCTTACACTTCTACAATAAGTCAACAAGTAAGCATAACTTCTATGAATTTTCCATACTGACAAGTAATCACTTTGCAATGTTCTCTTACTGTTTTTAATGAGACAAATGAAATGATAACATGAAAACTTTGTTTGTGTTAGAAAATTATGCACCATTGGAAAGGGAGATAAGGCAATCGGTTTTAAGAGGAATATAATATAACAGTATCAAATATGTTGTTTATAAGGAAAATGTGATATTATCAGGGTCATGGAGCAATGCATTATAGACCTTTACACATTAAACTTTAACTACATAAAGTGAAAAAAGCCTTTTCTGGTTCATTGATTTTTAAATACAGCTTAATCATCTAGAAACTCTGTTAAGTTTATCATAACACTTTTTATAAGGCCAAGTTTTAAGCAGCAGATTCAGAAATCAATGACATGTTGACAGAGTAAAGCATATGCATTAGACACTCTCCTGGATTCAAGCACAATCTTTCTAATAAAAGCTGTCAAACTTTACCCTTGTTTTCCCATCATGTGTTCTTATGATACCTCTAGGAATAACCATTGTAATCCCCCAACAGATGTTTCCCATCATGTGTTCTTATGATACCTCTAGGAATAACCATTGTAATCCCCCAGCAGATGTTTCCCATCATGTGTTCTTATGATACCTCTAGGAATAACCATTGTAATCCCCCAGCAGATGTTTCCCATCATGTGTTCTTATGATACCTCTAGGAATAACCATTGTAATCCCCCAGCAGATGTTTCCCATCATGTGTTCTTATGATACCTCTAGGAATAACCATTGTAATCCCCCAGCAGATGTTTCCATCATGTGTTCTTATGATACCTCTAGGAATAACCATTGTAATCCCCCAGCAGATGTTTCCCATCATGTGTTCTTATGATACCTCTAGGAATAACCATTGTAATCCCCCAACAGATGTTTCCCATCATGTGTTCTTATGATACCTCTAGGAATAACCATTGTAATCCCCCAGCAGATGTTTCCCATCATGTGTTCTTATGATACCTCTAGGAATAACCATTGTAATCCCCCAGCAGATGTTTCCCATCATGTGTTCTTATGATACCTCTAGGAATAACCATTGTAATCCCCCAGCAGATGTTTCCCATCATGTGTTCTTATGATACCTCTAGGAATAACCATTGTAATCCCCCAGCAGATGTTTCCCATCATGTGTTCTTATGATACCTCTAGGAATAACCATTGTAATCCCCCAACAGATGTTTCCCATCATGTGTTCTTATGATACCTCTAGGAATAACCATTGTAATCCCCCAGCAGATGTTTCCCATCATGTGTTCTTATGATACCTCTAGGAATAACCATTGTAATCCCCCAGCAGATGTTTCCCATCATGTGTTCTTATGATACCTCTAGGAATAACCATTGTAATCCCCCAACAGATGTTTCCCATCATGTGTTCTTATGATACCTCTAGGAATAACCATTGTAATCCCCCAGCAGATGTTTCCCATCATGTGTTCTTATGATACCTCTAGGAATAACCATTGTAATCCCCCAGCAGATGTTTCCCATCATGTGTTCTTATGATACCTCTAGGAATAACCATTGTAATCCCCCAACAGATGTTTCCCATCATGTGTTCTTATGATACCTCTAGGAATAACCATTGTAATCCCCCAGCAGATGTTTCCCATCATGTGTTCTTATGATACCTCTAGGAATAACCATTATAATCCCCCAACAGATGTTTCCCATCATAACACTGCATTATTATGCTTACAATTTCCTTTTTCAATATTCGACTATCATATTTTCCCCAAAATCCTAACAAATTCTCCCATATTTTCTACTATAACTCATCATAACAATGCTTTTCACAAAGTTATTGCTTCTGAAAATCACAGTTACTACCATAAATATTGTCTCAAAATCCTTTCCTTGAAACTAAATCTCAATGGTAAGCTTCTCCTATGTCATTCTACAAATATAACCTTGTAAGATTTCTCCCATGATTCCAGTAGAAAATTTCCTTTAATCCCCTCCTCATGTTGTCACTACAGATAGACCTAGAAATTCATAACTACAAACTATTCTCTGGGATCTCCCACAAACATTTTACCTGTAGAGTCCGTTATATGAATATCAGCCTTGATTTTGACTCGTTCACGTGGCTCCTCATCTACATTATTCTGTGGAGGCTCCACATGGGGTTCCTCATCATCTGGGTCTTCCTCCTCTGTGATTTCCTGTGTGAGGTCTCCTTCACTGGTTCCCACCTCCTCTCCACTCTCCAGCTCCTCATCTGGATAAACATCATTTATATGACTGATGTGAAAATTTTCCAAACAATTTTGAACATAACAGATAACTAAGCAGTTATGATTTAGCACAAAGTTTTTTGAATGTTACATCAATCCTTGACTTTATAGGTTTTATATGCAATTTCATCAACTATTCACTATTTTTTATCAGAAGTTTTCCCATCTTGTGTTTCTAGGTAAGGTAAATAATGTGTTTATATTTTCACGACTGGACATACCGATGAAATTTTACCCCATGAATTATCTACTTTTTACTTGTCAAACAATGTATTCACTTGAAAACCATTTAATCTGTGTACTTTTATCACTATTATGATTATCAAATTCACCAATGCTATATAAACACAACTAAAATTCAAGTGGACCTTCAGGTAGAAATTAATTGGTATAATGTTTAATGCATAAGGAGAGCACCTGTAAGATCACTGAAATGACACATAATTACACAAAAAATCCAAACTGTAAAAACCTGGGTCCAACAAAATGGTTATTGTTAAGTTTAAAACATGTCTGAATTTTTTAAATCATGAATTTTAATCCCAGTTTACATCAAAATTAGACCCAAAAAGGAAAATCTTCATGAGAAAATAAGACCACTAAAACAATTATTGATCGAGAAACGGACATAAGGTCAAGTCTTACCAAAGTGTGGTAGACGGACAAATAGAGAGTCAATTACATTTTGTTACAAAAGTGTAAAATCATCATCCATACAAAAGCATGTCATGGTATCAGACATAAACATAATTCCCTTATATATGTACATATTTCTGTTCATGATGCATCACAAAACTATTACAACATATTTTTAGATATATGAAATAAAATCTACAGTAGATTAAAACAAAATAAACACTACAACAAATTTCCCAAGGTGAACTGAGGGAGTCTAGGGAAGAATTTCAAACAAAATCTAGGGAAGAATTTCAAACAAAATCAGGTTATCAGATATATCTAAAGTATTTTTCTATTAAATAAACTCTGAAATAAACAACAAATAAACACAATGTTATACTAAGGGTGAGAGGTAGTGACAAGTCAGTGAAATTACATCAAGCATAAAAAAGCTATGTACTATACTAATATCTACAAAACAATAAGAGTAAATTTCATATCATGGGAAAAGAACCAAATAACAAAACGAAAATTAGGCTTAAATTCGTTCTTTTAATTAGGAAAATCTATCTTTCAAAATATAACACCAAAACGTGTTCGCTTCAAAGACATAGAGTGGATCAGTAAGTCTAAGTCAGACATAAATGCAATGCTTTCTGACATACCTGACATTAACAGAAAGATAAATATCTGGTTTCCTTAAGTCAATGACCGGGGAATGAGACTTGATAAGTGGTGGCACTTCAGTGAAGAGGCCTCACTATTAATACAGTGGTACTGACTAGCACTAAATGTTTAAATCTGTAACAATTTCCATTTCCTTATAACTTCCTATTAAGTACATGTTTATTTACTAGTAAGAAGTGTATGTATGTACAGCTGATAAAACAATTTACGCTATGTAGATCATCAATGTAGAAATCAAAATTATCATCAAAATAAATTACCTTTTCTCAGGAATTAAACAAAAATGAACTTTCCTGTAATATGTATGTATTAAGTGTCTTGTAGTTTACACAATAAGGAGATCCACATACTTTATATCACTGTATACAAGTTAAATAAACATACAAATCATTCATACAAAGGAAGATTTTATAGTCGTCAATTTTTCTAAGTAATCAGGATTTCTGACAGAAATATGAAGTTTTAAATTTAAAACTTTAATTTTTTTACCACAAATAAAGAAGTAGAACCTTTTGTAGTTTTCCATGATTTAGAAATTGTTAATTTTTTATTATCACTTGAGATTGATATATACAACCTGCTAAGAGAGGACGAAAACAGTGGGATATTTTATCTGACATTACTAATACTTCCTCATGAAGTGAGCAGAGGGGAAAATAATATGTTGGAAATATCAAAATGAATATGTAAACAGCAATAATTTCATTTGAAATAATCTACACAATCATTACATAACTATAAATCAAACAAATTAAAACAAACATCAGTAAAATTCACAAAATAAATCTATAAGTAAATATAGATAATTTTTAGGACTTCGATGATAATCATGATAACAAAATTGAAAAATGTACAGCACTCAAAACAAATACACACCAAAATTCATACAAAACATAAAATACAAAAATCAATAAAGCCAGATACACAACTATAGAATAAGGGCCCTAAAAGCAAAGTTGTGACTTAAATAAACACATCTTAATGAAAACAGTTCAAGCAACATGTTACATAGATACACAAAGACATGATAAATACAGAAAGTGACTACTGGGAACATGCATGCAGTAAGGATGAAAACCTTTGGACTGTTCTGTGCCGTCAGTGGATGTGGTGCCGTCTGCTGACCCAAACTGACCTTCAAACTCGGACATTTGATTTGCCTCTGAGGAAGCATTTTCCTCAGAGCTCTGGTTGGTTGTCGAGGAGCCAGACTGGGAGGCTAAGCTGCTTTGTGTAGTTGTCACGGATATTGTCTCCTCATTCTGATTGGCCTCCTGAGAGCTTGTCTTTACATTCTGATCAGCCTCACAAGCCGAGTCATTCTCTGAGCTCTGATTGGCTTGCTGTAAATCAGCCTGCACCACGTGGCAGTCGTCCTCTACAAGGGCTGCTGACATGTGAGCAAGTATGCCAACTCCCTCGTCAGCAATGATCTCAATACTTTTGGACCCCTGCCTGGGGTCTGCAGGTTTGGTAATGCCTCCTTTTCCAGTTTCTGTTGGGGTTTTTACAATTTTCTGCTCCAGGTACAAAGATTTAAGATCGCTATGGGAGGATCTCTCCATCAACAGTGGTCGTAAGTTTTGAAGTATATCTGATGCTGTCACTGTAATATTATTCACCAACATGACTGACATTGTGACACAATACTGAGACAAGACAGGCTTTGACAATGTATGATGGCATGTAAACATCGCTCAGCACCAATGAAATAAGACAATTCAATAACACGTTTTAAAGCCAATGACAATCAATGACGATTTACCGATATGTTACAGCTGCTGACAAGTTAACTTATTGACATGACTGGCTGTGCCATATGGTTTCATAATTAAGCTGACATTATAAGACCATTTACCAGTTTGTCAAGAGATAGAATAATTCATCAAAATGGATGGGAATCTAAGATGTCCTTCTAGGAGGACTGACTTTGTAAGAAAGTTACAAGCAATCTTCATGTTCATTAAGACAGAGAGCTTCCTTTTATCAAATTGTGTAACAAGAAATATTATACATGAAACTTCAACCAACAAAACATTTTTTCTCCTTGAATTTTCAGAAAAAAGCAAATAATAAAAGTTTTTCTATGAATCCAATTTTAATACACAGACTTGTTTAGTGAAAATGACAAACTTTAAAAATAAACAAGAATTTTGAAGAAATCAAAGAGTCTTAAATAAATTGAAATTTCACACAATATTTCTGCTTTCATGGAAAGTAGAATGCAATAAACACAAGTCTGTGACAAGACTTCAGACATAAAACATAAAGCTGGAATTTTTCTATAACCTAATTGAGTGCACGCTTGTCTACAGAGCACTACAGATATATATACTACCCTGACTATGACATGGTTACTTTGTATGAAGTGAATGGTTAATTTAAATACATTGGCCAAGTACAGAAGTAAAGACTCTCACTTAGATGTTTAAAGTACTTCCCTTTAAACAAAAACTTTATACAAATATGCTAGCTAAATTTTGTCAGGACGATACATACAGTCACTTACCTTAGACTAAAGAACTTTAACATAGAGTGCACACAGAAATATGTCAGAGGTAAAAAATTACAGCTTGCACTTCTAAATATTATCTTAAGGCAATGACAATTTTATTTGCCAACCTAGCTGAGAGTGATCTGAAGGAAGGGAAGTATAAGAGATTATTTAGGAATGAGTCGATGGATCAAACTGAGAGATGCACTAATCACCAAGGGTAAAATATGTCCCAAATTTCCAGTGGGCCAGTAGGTGGACTTTAGGTGAATGATGGTGGTTATGGATAAAATTTGTTGGGGATTACCTGAGGGTGAGTTAATGGATTGACGATGTGAGTTAGTAGTTGGGGTGGCTGCTGGGGTTGGTGGTTCCAGAATGTCCCGATATTTTGACACCATCAGTACTGAAGTGAAGTAGACAATAGCCAAGGCTAGGAACTGTGCCTGTTTTGTTTCCTCGACATCCCGGTAAACAACTGCACGCAGACGATTGATGTCCATATCCTGAAGAAGCTTCTCATAGTCCTTAATTGGTGATGTCTGCTCATTCAAGTTCTCAACAATATTCTGTAAACAACAGTTATTCATACTCTATTTCATTTCAATCTTCAACTATCCACCAACAATGCAAAGTACTAGCATCACTGTCTTTTAAGAAATAAGAGTTTGTACACATCATCTGTCAGAACAGCATATTTTCATATGAACTACTAGGTTTAGTCAAGATAAAAAGCAGAGTTTTTACACTGTAAATGTATTTTAATTGAGGCAATTGTATCTTTGCACATTATCACTTTTTAATAATTTAGTGCAGTATTCAAATTCACGCTTTCATTATAAATGCTATACAATCAGTATAAAGAAACAGCCAGTCGTACAATCATAATCAACAGTTGCAATATTTAACATTTTTTTAGATATTCCTAGATATATACTGCGAGAAAAATCTGTGTATAGGGGTATGAATGCATTGGGATCTGTGTTATTTTTTTCTATCTCCTCTATGACTTAGTGCCACAGTAAGAAGCAAACATTTAAGCGCCCTCAGATTGTTACAGAAATACTGTTCTTTTTTATGATATATACTAATACAGATATATGGAAAATCTTACATTTGTGAGTTTCATGATAAGTCAGTAACCAACACAAGTTTACTTCAGAACAAGACATGTCATTACAGTTATTATCTAGATCAACCTACCCTCTCATTGGGATGTGAGGTCATAATCAGTGACTGTATTGGGTCATCAGTTATTATCTAGATCAACCTACCCGCTCCGTGGGATGTGAGGTCATAATCAGTGACTGTATTGGGTCATCAGTTATTATCTAGATCAACCTACCCGCTCCGTGGGATGTGAGGTCATAATCAGTGACTGTATTGGGTCATCAGTTATTATCTAGGTCAACCTGCCCGCTCAGTGGGATGAAAGGCCATAATCAGTGAGTGTATTGGGTCATCACTTATTACCTAGATCAACCTACCCTCTCAGTGGGATGTGAGGCCATAATCAGTGACTGTATTGGGTCATCAGTTATCATCTAGATCAACCTGCCCGCTCAGTGGAATGTGAGGTCATAATCAGTGACTGTATTGGGTCATCAGTTATTATCTAGATCAACCTACCTGCTCCGTGGGATGTGAGGTCATAATCAGAGACTGTATTGGGTCATCAGTTATTATCTAGGTCAACCTGCCCGCTCAGTGGGATGAAAGGCCATAATCAGTGAGTGTATTGGGTCATCACTTATTACCTAGATCAACCTACCCTCTCAGTGGGATGTGAGGCCATAATCAGTGACTGTATTGGGTCATCAGTTATTATCTAGATCAACCTACCCTCTCAGTGGGATGTGAGGCCATAATCAGTGACTGTATTGGGTCAACACCATTCATGTTGCGTGAACTACGACTTCCAGAACTTGTTGGACTGCCAGGTGGAGAATGAGGGCGGTGTCGGTGGCGACACTCTAGACAGTTCCTCACAGATGATGTACACACTGAAAGAAAACAAAGGACCATCATGAGACCAATATCAAAAGAAGTTCTCATGACAAATTCACAAAATTTTGATAATTTCTCTTTCATTTCAAAAGTTAAGGTTTATCAAAATTTCCAAAATATACAACATCAATAAGATAATCATGCCCTTTTCCACAATAAGAAAACTGGTTTTATACACCACTGCCCGTTAACCATAGTTATATACAATCAACAAAGCAAAAACTGGCAGAAAATCAACTCTTTTGTAAAACTACAATACTGACAGGTCAGCAAGTGTTGGCTATGTGGCTGGAGACCGTGCGGGGCCCTAATTAAAAATATGACACTACATGATAAAAAGTAATACCCAAGCGAAGGCATTGTCTCAATATTCCACCAGACGGCATATTCTTCTCTTGTTCCAGCTCGGCAAAATTTGTAGAGCTGGCAAATACCAAGACGTCCATCATGTTCATGATACGCTGCAGGATGGATACTGCCTGTTCTATACTGAGGCCTTGGGTGGGCTCCAAGATCTCCACCTCACCCTAAAATAGACATTTGAATAGCTGCTACTTGATAGTATAAATTCTCTATCCAGTGCAACAACATACAGACATGGTAAACAGTGGTCTTATCTGCAGTATGATATTCTTCCACTTTCAATCTTATAAAAAAACCATGTACAATGTTCTTTTTGAAGTGCATGGAAATTTCTATGAAAAGAAAAGTTTATTTATATAAACTGTAAATTCTACAGATCTAACACATTTCCTTCTTATTTCACAATCCCATGTTGATTTTAATTCAATTGAAACTATAAGAAATTATTCCTTTCCAACATACCACTTTCAAAGAGCACTACTTACATTTGGAGATGTGGCAGCTGCTAACAAGGGAAGTAACCCGCCACAGGATGTAATGAGGTTATCGGCAAGCTGAGAAATCATGTGAGTGACGTTGACGACATACACATGGTTGTCTCCTGAGTTGACAAAGTCTATTACTGTCTTTGTACTGTGGCTGAAAATAATCATACTAACATACAGCCTCTGATAACTACAGCATATTGTAAAGAACCCTGAGTATTCAGACTATAATTTATATAGCAGTGTAATACAAAGTCTATAAAACTTACACATATAGCTGGTTATTTTAGCAGGAATGATATCTTAGCTGTTTCGAGATACATTAATTGTGATAGTGAAAATGTAATCTGTGAAATAACGAGAAATCTGTATAATACGTGTCATTTTATGTCAAGATTGCAAAACTTTTCATTTGTTAAAATATTATTTGATCATATAAAAAGAAAATTTTTATCAGTGAAATTTACCAGCTATCGTCAGTGTAAAAATTTGTATTACAAAAGAACTATTACCAGAATAAGGTATTGGAGCGTATTTTACACCTGGAAAACAAATATGCTTCTTCTAGCTTCATTATTTATTTATATCTAATATTGGCACCACAGGCCAAAACCAAAATAAACAGCACTTTCTTTCATCATTCCATATACAAAAAGCTACATGCTCTATGACTTTGTTATTCAATTCATTACCGTTCACAAAAATAAATATCCTTTGCTAATCTTGAAACCACTAAACTGTTAAAATAGATACCTTTTCCAGACCTGAAGGTCAGTCTCCACAGAGAAGAGAAGATCTGACAGGAGTTTCTGGTGGAGTCCTGACCATCTGAACTCGGGGATCCTGAAGGGTGGGGCCCGGGGACCTGGGCTAAACACGTGTCTATTGCCATGGGATTCCATGCTGCCCCGGAATGACTGCGATCTTGAAGGGTTCCTCTTTACCCCAGTGGTAGTGGTCTCCCTTGGGACATCACTCTTTTTTGCATCAGTTACCTCGTCTGATTTAGCACCAGTTGCTGCATTTTCTGCAGCAGTTGATTCTGGTGTCTTGGTTTCATCTGACGTTTTCCCATCATCCTTTGTATCTGTTGATGCCTTCCCATCATCCTTTGTATCTGTTGATGCATTCCCATCAGCCTCAGCTTTTTCTGCCTTCCCATCCCCATCCCCTTTACTGTCACCATTTTGTTTTGTTTCAGATTTTTCTTCTGGTTTTGTCCCCTCATTTGTCGCATTTTCTACTTCTTTGATCTGGACGGAGCTTTTAATTGGTTGTTGTTGTTCCTGAAGGGCGGAGTCAGATATGCCCGAGATGGTGCTGATTGGATAATTCTGTCTTTCTTGTGGATCAACATCGTCCACTCGCTGTTGATCATACTGACGGTACATCTTTGACATATGAATTTTAAAATCCTCATAAGCAACCTGAATAAAAAATACAATGGTGAAAACTTAAAACAAAATTACTTTTTGTATAGTAACCTTTGACATTTTGAACTACGACATGTTTACTTTTGAAACATTGACCGTTGATACATTAATCAAAACTCATTAATATACATGTATGTCATATCGTGACCTATGACATATTGTTGTGATATTCTGACCTCTGTTATGACTGTCACCACTGGTGTTGACACACTGATGTAGGATACATCGTCCTGTGATACATTGATATAATATAATGACCTGTAATATCTGAACTAAGACTACATTTACGTAACCCGGTTGAAATGTTTCAGGTTGTCTTGAATTATTCCACTATAAAGGAATGCATTTGTTGTACTGGATCTTGGACCTGATATATGTAAAGCTGAAAATGCACAGTTTTGGAATTTCCTGTCAGGCATAAATCAATTAATTAAAATTAAGATACCATTCATTTCATTCATACTTTATAACACAATGCTCCCAGATATATGTGAGTGCACCAACCCTACTTTTTAAGTAGAAATTCTGAAAAATAATGATATTCAGCAAGTTAGTTTCAGACAGGTACAGCTAGACCCCTCAAACTGCACATGCCAAATACTTTACAGTCTCTGTTCCAATCAGTACTTTATGTTTTTCCTGCAGGTTCAAGCGGTCCAACCGTTTCAACTGCTTATGCGAACGCGCCCAATGACAGGTTACCTTTGTTACCTATCTATGATCGAATCAATATCCCGTATAATATCTAAACTCACCTTCGAGTGTAGGATAGCTAATGTGTCGATCCACACTCTCCAGCCTCCGTACTCATATTTGATAGCATGATGGAGCAGCATCCGAAACAATGACATTACCATGTCTGTGACCTTCCGTTCCTCGTCATTCCGTGAATAGATGTAGGAGAGAGAGAAGAGCCAGTCCTGCCAGACAGACATCTGAAGGACAGTTCTGTAGGACAAACAAAACCAATATCTAATGATAACTGTGCTTATGTTGTCTTTTTAGTGTAAACTCTAAGAAAACTAGAGTAAGCTCTTATAAACATCATCAAACTGAAGATATAGTCACAATATAGACAAATACCTAAGTTGGATATACCTTCTATACAGGGTGAGGGAGAGCTAGAAACCCTCTACATGGGGTGAGGGCGTGCTAGACATACCCTCTACACAGGGTGAGGGTACGCCAGACATACCCTCAACACAGGGTGTGCTAGACATACCCTCAACACAGGGTAAGGGTGTGCTAGACATACCCTCTACACTGTGTGAGGGAGAGCTAGACATACCCTCAACACAGGGTAAGGGTGTGCTAGACATACCCCCTACACTGGGTAAGGGAGAGCTAGACATACCCTCAACACAGGGTAAGGGTGTGCTAGACATACCTCCTACACTGGGTGAGGGAGAGCTAGACATACCCTCAACACAGGGTGAGGCTGTGCTAGACATACCCTCTACACTGGGTGAGGGAGAGCCAGACATACCCTCAACACAGGGTAAGGGTGCGCTAGACATACCCTCTACACGGGGTAAGGGTGTGCTAGACATACCCTCAACACAGGGTGAGGCTGTGCTAAACCTACCCTCTATACTGGGTGAGGGTGTGCTAGACATACCCACTATAAGGGTTGTGGGTGTGCTAGATATACCCTCTACACAAGGTAAGGGTGTGCTAAACATACCCTTTACATGGGGTGAAAGTGTGCTCACTGATGGATCCTTCAGAAAGGACAGTGTTTTGGATATCTTATTTGAAGTTATTCTGTATGTAAATAACTTAAGACTTTTACCTCCTATTCTCCCGGTTGTTGTTACATAAAATCGTCAGATCAGACAAGAATGTTTTCTTGACCTCAGCAACCTCTGGTGTTGGTTTAGACTGGCGAATCATGGTAGCCACTACCTTCAGCACAGCTGTAAAGGTAAAATTTTTAATAAAATGTCCTTCAAATTAATACTCCATACACAGGTATTCAGAAATAGCGTGTTAAGTGCAACATAACATTGAGAATCACCCTACAAAACAGTTCATGTCGGACCCTTAGATTACAGTCGTGTTGTATACTTACCAGAGTTTTCTATTCTGAAATAGGACTCAGGCTCCACATGTTTTTCCATCACACTGTCTCCAGACAAACGCTCTGTCAGTAACTAAAAACAACAAAGTATACAATCATAAATATCTTGTCACTGTGTAGTTGTCATAATAAGGAAACAGTAGTCACTTGACAAACCCCTGATCCCCTCATGGTGAGATTGTAGGTAGACACTAATCATAATAGCCTTCAAATTTTTTAGTAGCAAAGTTTCTTCTTTTCTTTTTATTCCAACTGGAGTACGGAAAGGCTCCAACATCAGTCTTTACTGCTTTTGTAAAAATCTTAACTAAAAATTCTTAAGGTCAAATGGCTAATCTGGAACCTTAATTGACTGTGAACAAAACAAGATCCTGTCCTGCATATAATAAGTATTTAGCTACTTACCAAATTATAGATCTATATTTCTATCCATTAAAGAGTAAAAAGTTGAATAAAAAAAACAACAGAATGATGGACAAGGGTAACATTATATGTCCTGTCCATAAGCTCACCTCAAACAATACATTGTACACTGGTAGAGTAATACTCTGCTCATTCAGCATCAGTCTTTCTCCGATCAGAGAGAAGAGATTATGTGGGCCCATACAGTCGGCTTTTCTCCTGAAAACAAAGGTATAGCAGGTGTGACATTTGGTCCTATCATATCTCATATCATCTGACAAACTGTGACAACATTTACTGATACACACGCCCTTTCCATGATACGGGGACCTAGTCATATAAATCCTCAAAGCCCTGACAATATGTTCACCTATCACATCACCAATATTGTCTTTGTTTTATAGAAACATAATGTACATAGAACAACATACCTACTGATAGCTAACCCTCATCACAGGATTATCTTATTGATGCATATGTTTCAGATATACATTGTATCTCTGCTTGGTTCAGAACTGCATTTCATTGTATGCAATATCTGATAAAGACAGGAAAGTGATAATGGAGTGTACATTTATCTACCTCATATGTATGTGTGTTCAGTGTTTTTAATGTTCATGTTCCTGTAATGAAAGAAAGAAAGAAAGAAAGAAAGAAAGAAAGAAAGAAAGAAAGAAACAGGAGGGAGGGAGAGGAGGAGGAAGGATAGAATGGGGGAAAGAAAGAAAGAAAGAAAGAAAGAAAGGAAGGAAGGAAGGGAGGATAGAATGAAGGAAGTTGTAGAGTGGCAGAGATCAAGAATGAGACAAAGAAGAGGAGAGAAACAAATGAAGATAGAATGAGAGATAGGAACAGGTGTAATGTAAGTGTGATCATACTGTCTGTTTATTTGTTTTTGTAGTTTTTGGTAATGCCGTGACATGCGTCGTGATCTGCAACAACAACACAGTAGTATGTTAAAAACCGATGTCCAGAGGTTAATTAAGAGTTTTATCTCATTTAGAAGTGGTCATATAACTTGAAGAGATGATAAAAATGACAGCAAGTAACTATACCTACTAACACATTCATGAGGTTTTGTCTTTCATTATGTCTGTATTCTCACCTACCTAACATTGAGGCATGAAAAACACCTTTTTAAAAATTGAATCAGGATTTATTGATATTAATCACTAAATATTAAAATGGTACACGCTGAGGTAAAAATGTGGGGAAGCCTAAAGAAACGTGGGCAACAGTTACAGGGTCATTGTTGGTTGGATATAGTATGATAAACAGACTGACTTCACAGAAGTACAACATAATGTACAAGAGTACCGCAGGGTGGAACAATATACGCCCATCCAAAACTGTTCAAGAATAAATGCAAAATTATTGATGGGAAACCTATTTTGCAAATGTACCAAGGGCCATAACTCTATAAATAATGGGCAAAAAAATTTGGTTATCAAACTTGACCTGGCTTTTTTGGTAATAAAACTTCATGTGAAGTTTTCAATGAATTTTTATGAGTTATCGATTGAAAACCTACTTTGCAAACATACCAAGGGCCATAACTCTGTAAATAATGGGTGAAAAATTTTGGTTATCAAACTTGACTTGGCTTTTATGGAAATTAACCTTCATATGAAGTTTCAAATTAATCTGTAAAAAATTATTCAAGTTATCGAACGGAAACCTATATGCAGCTGCCCGCCCACCCGCCAACCGCCCGCGTGAAAACATAATACGTCCTGTCTTGCAACGGGCATATGAAAACAGCATACACAACATACTATACCAAATTTATTGAGTGTGAAAAGAAAAATTTATCCAAATTTACAGCAAACCAATGACGCTGAATATCTGACAGACTAGAGTGGACTTATCCATGTGTACAATATTACATTAGCAAGACATATCATCTCTGTAAATCCATCAACAGTTATTTCTCAATCATCCTGCCAGGAAATCATAGGGAAAGCTTAATAGTATTTATCTGTATATAGTAAAGTTTGAGAATAGATTTTGGTATGGTAGTAGATGCTCTGCTATCTGAATAAGTGCTCGCGAAAAAAATATGTTCTGGTAGACGAGAGAATACATCAGAGACATGCTACATACAAAGTCAGTGACATATACACAGACAGACTAAATGTGTGATATCTAGTCTCTTCTGTACTACCCAGAGACCAATCCAGCAGTATCTGGAATCCTCTCTCTCCAGTCATACCCAAAGAGACTGACAACAAGATAGTGTCTAATGTTAAGGCAATTCCTAAGAAACTTTACTTACTTGTGTGTTGCTCTCATTAGGAAAAAGCCAAGAAGTTTGAGAGCCTGAATCTGCAGTGGTTCTGAGTTTGATGCCAGCAGCTTAAAAACAGTTCTGAAATAAACAACAAGTGCTTGATAATTAGCACATTTTACACATCAACACTCCATACTGCAAAATCATATATTTTTGTGGGGCTCAAATTTCATGGTTTTCTAAAAATATATGTTTTGTTGGCAATTGATTTTGTAGATAAATCAGACTAAAAAAATCCATTTGAGGTAAAATCCATGGTGACTTTTATCTGTGCATCTTTTTGAGGGCATATAAATTTGTGGATTTAGTGTACCCACAAATTCCATGAAACTTAAATCCACCATCGAATATTGATGATTGTATAGTACACTGCTTCTCATCGATACCATCTACAGGAATTAATTAAATCCTTTTTCAGGTGTTCACTTACATTCCTTCTTCAGAAAACTTCACTACAATGAAACATGACTTTTATCATCAACTGGTTCCAAACATGTCCCGCAGTGACTGGTATAATTTGAGGCAGTCACACACCACCTCTACTTCATATGTTTTGTTCCAGATATCATAGTTAATACCATTTATATACCACTTACCTTATACCATTTTTCTTGTCGAAGGATGGTACCATGGAGGCGGGGTGTTCTGCCATCAGTGATACCGTCAGCTGGAGTACGTCCATCAGATTGTCATCCTAAATTAAATAACACCAACAAAATTCTCAAGGAAAAGTTAAAATATAGTAAAAGTTGAGAACTTGTGATTCTTTTAACCTGGAACAAAATTGATGTCATCATCAAGTACCTTTCTTTCTTGGTTCTTCTTGATTTCTTTACGTTTGCTTTTTAAAGAATGCAAAATGTTTCTACCTCGTTTACTACAAATGATCTTTTAGAAAAATAAGGCTAAGAAATTCTGTACTGTAAGAGGCAAAACCTGAAAGCCCAAATTAAACATAAACAAAAATCACTATTTTTGTATTTAAGAATTGAAATCTGGGGAAAAACTGTCAAATTTTACTATGTACCAGACCAGATCTCGGAAGTTACAATCCCAGTAAACTGTTTACCTCGTGAAGCGTAGACAGGTAGTTGAGAATGCTTTGTAACTCATCCTCCTGTACTCCCTGACCTTTCAGCAACAGCTGTTTGATGTACAGTAGCATGAAGGAGCGTAATTTAATGATCTCATCATAGGTCGGTCGCGGCCCATCTGTAACAGACCATTAACGCTGGTCACATTTAACACAGACAAAATAGTTCAATTTGATATACATGAACGACATCAGTAGTGCCTTACTGAGGATTATTTGTATACCACCATCATGTGTATTTGTACAACTTTTATAACTAAGTGAAATGATGGGACACCTTTTAATTTTCTGATAAAATTTACTGGAGTAATAACAAAAGAATCCAACAAATCAATCAATTTAATTAAGTTTTTTTCCTTTTCCTAATAAGACTGAACACTGAGTTTTCAACTGGAGGATTCTGGTTCAGGAGGAGTTGCATAATAAAACTTTAGCTGATGCTCATCAATGGAAAAATTATGACATAGCTAAAATTAGATATTCTGGTTTTGACACCAAATGGCTAAATGGGTGAAATTAACCTGTTCCATAGCATCATAATCTGTAATACTTTTTCGGTTTGTTTTGAAAAATATTTGGCAAGTGAAGACATTTAATCTAATACAGCTATATTATACAATGTCTGTATGTTCCATCCGAGTATAACTACCACTTTTCTGTCAACTTTATGATTGCCATGGAAGCAATGGCCTTAGCCATATCAGGCCTGTACTTGTTACACACTGATTCCCTAAATCATTTCTCTTCATATGAATGACTTTTAATGTTTGTATAAACAAGTATACTGTTCATAGACCGAAGACCTATCTAACAGACAGTTGACCCCTGACCTGTGCCCTTGGGTGCGATGCCACTCCGATCCTTAGGGTTGACGACCCAGTAGTAGAACTTCAGAGTGTGCATTGTCTGTAGAACTGCACTGACGCGACGAATGTTATTGTAAATCTGGGCATTACTAATAAAATCTGTTGCTAGGTAACAATACAGTTTGGTCTGCACCTGTGAAAACAGATTATACAGAATTTGTGAACAATGGCATCTCTTAAACTGAAAATAAATAAATGTATTTTTCTTCAGTTGGAAAACACTGACGAAACTATTCTAGAAACAATGTAAAATTCTGAGAAAAACTCCGATTGCTGACTATTTTAAAGAATGTAGTTGTAGAATGTTGAAAATAAGGATTGAAATGTACACGATAAAACCCAGTTTTGATGTTCGACACTTACCTCTACAGAAGAATGTATCCATAATGCAGGGTTGAATAGTATGTGATCAAACAGGTGTTTGAGAAGCATGCTGCCAGTAGGCAGGTCAACAAGGTATTGTGTAAGGGCTAGGAAGGACTCCAGGACTGCTGGTGTCACATGCATTCGTGATGCCTGCAAAAGATACAATCATGCTTTCAATGAGTGCATTTAGTACAAAAATATCATCATTTCAAGTTACTTCATTTAGAAACTGGGATGAAAAGCATGGATTCTTCATGTGCATGGAATTGTTTTTTTTGAAATCGAGAAGAAATGGTTCTTAAGAATAAATGATTCAGAAGAAAAATGGAACAAAAATTTCTATATCTGTTAGTGGAAATATCACCCACTATAACTTTCTACTATGACAATATAAGTAGGGTGTACCTTCTCCAGGAGGTAACCGGTCCTAATATTCTACTATGACAATATAAGTAGGGTGTACCTTCTCCAGGAGGTAACTGGTCCTAATATTCTACTATGACAATATAAGTAGGGTGTACCTTCTCCAGGAGGTAACTGGTCCTAATATTCTACTATGACAATATAAGTATGGTGTACCTTCTCCAGGAGGTAACTGGTCCTAATATTCTACTATGACAATATAAGTAGGGTGTACCTTCTCCAGGAGGTAACCGTCCTAATATTCTACTATGACAATATAAGTAGAGTGTACCTTCTCCAGGAGGTATCCAATCACCAGGAATCCTTTGTTCTGTAACATCTGTTGTTGTATGGTCACAGAGCTTTCCAGTAGGTTTAGTAAGATACTCATCAGGTTAGCACTGAAAAGGAAAATCCCATAACACTACAAAAGTAGTCAACCTTTATCAAATATTTTTTTCTAAACATTTAAACTATACTCACCAACATCCCATTATAACAAAGTAGTTGACTTTTAGTAAACTAGCTCACTCCCAAATATTTCATGTCATTAATACAAATTTTTGACTGTAATTGATGACATCCTGAAAGACTACCAAAGCAGTAGAACCATAACATTTAAGTTAGCTTTGAATATTTTCAGGTCAAGTGTGACCTTTTGTCTTAAAAATTCCTCCCATACATCTCCACCGATATATCACCTCATAACAACAATATGGTGTAGGATAACAGAGGATGTATAACTAGTGTTACAGTTCAGGTCTATCTCAACTTGTTGGCTGTACAAAACACACACAAGTGAATATTACCTTCTAATTAATATTTTATTTAAAAACTGTAAGGGTGAATAATGAATTAGACTGCATCATGCTGCTGTTTTGTCCTTCTAGGACTTGTAAGTGATGTTAAGGGCCTAAATTTTAAAGTCTAGGAGGCAAACATTGAAAATCTAGACTCATCGAAAGAAAGTCAAAATCTAGATGGGAAGGTGCACTAGCTCCATAACCTAATATATTTCGTAATTTCATAGATCTGATAATTTTGGAAAGATTCCAGGTACATGTATATATTCTGTACCTATTTGTAAAGATAACAGCAATACCGTTTTACCATTAACTCTGTCATATGGGCATATTTGTATCTTTGACCCCACAGTTACAGAATAAGCAGTGATATGACATTTGATATTTTGCATTATTACCATATGGTGTGGTCCACCTCTGACTTGTCACCTTTGTCTACAGGGAAGTCCAACTGTCCGAATAGTGGGAAAAATACCTACAAGAGGATGTCATCGGAAAATGAAGACTTTGGAAACATTTCAGAATTACAATTATATATGTGATTTTAAGTACATGTATAACATTACACAATTTTTATGAGTTTCTGATGAAATCATAATTTTTATGTACACACTGGTATTGGAATTTCCTGGATTTGTTAAAATAACCTTTACCTTATTTGGTGATGAATATTTAAATTTGATGATCTCACCTGTACACCACCAAGGGAGTGGAGAGTGCTGTGTATAGACTGGGTTATTACTGCCTTCACCTCCTGAAACATCAATAAATGACATGTAATCCTTGTCACTGCTACAGAAATGATCATTGTTTAATTACTTGGGGCACATTATGTAGTACTTTTCCAGTACAATTTTATGGGACTTCATTCAGGAGATAACTCAAGACTTTCCTGTGAAATGAGGGCATGTTCTACATATATGAAGTAGGAGGGATTTCCCTTGGGAGATAATTCAAGACTTACCAGTGAAATGTGTGTGTGTTGTACAAAGTAGGAGGGATTTCCCTTGAGAGACGACTGAAGATTTACTTGTGACATGAGAGCATGTTGTACATATAAAAAGTAGGATGAATTTCCCTTTGGAAATGTTTCAAGATTTACCTGTGACATGAGGGCGTGTTGTACATGTACAAAGTAGGAGAGATTTCCTTTGGGAGACGATTCCAGACAAAGCTGACTGTCGCAGGCCATTGGGTTGTACATAAACATTATACTGTTTGTTAACTTTCCATCATACACCAGCTGTATAATGAAAAAACCACAAAGACATTTAGTAACATGACAACAAAACTATTTTATCTCAGAGAAAAAGGAAAAGAAAAAGACGTTTCTCAAACGAAGGCTAATAATAAAGTACTTCAGTCATATACCTAATATTGACAAAGAACAACTGTAATTCTAAAATCCTGACAAAATTCTTATCCTAGAATAATGGTAACAAAATTCTTATCCTAGAATAATGGTAACAAAATTCTTATCCTAGAATAATGATAACAAAATTCTTATCTTAGAATAATGATAACAAAATTCTTATCCTAGAATAATGATAACAAAATTCTTATCTTACAATAATGATAACAAAATTGACACTAACACCATTTGTAATTTTGTTGTCTACTAACTCAGAAAATTGTTTTTATCTTAGCTCACCTTTTTGTTGATATTGTTTCCAGTCAAACCACTTTCATTTTCAAATCTAAACTGGCCCTGAAAATAGTAAAAAAAAATTACATTTTCACACCACATTTGTAATTACAAAATCAAAATTGCTAGAATAATAAAGGATTGTTTTGTTTAAAGAAGTGGGTTGGAACAAGCTTGCAAACTGACCGCAGCAATATTGTGAGCGTTAAAACACTTGAAATTTTATCAACAACTGGTATAAACCAAGTCACAATGCAGAATGTACACAATTTTCAGATTATTTAAGGCTACAATAAAATCTGAACCATATTTTCCTGCTTTTCCTCTCTTCTGTATACATTATGATATAATGATTATGAAAGATAATGAAAAACTTTACATAAGACAGATTACGTTTTACGTCACAAAGACGTCTGTGCCATATCAACAACAAAAACACACGAAACATTAAGTTATAATGAAAATTATTATCTGACAATGACCTGCGTGGAGTTATACTACACTGAGTGGATACAGTTATCTGAAAATTCAACATTGTAGCCATTTATTTAAAGACCTGTATACTGCAGCACCAACAGTTGCCCAAATCTTCTGTATTTTTAACTCCTTGATATCAACTGATGTCTAGAATTAAGATTTTCACCTTGTAGTTAGGTCCTAATTGGTAGATAGCTCCTATCTGTTGTGGCGACAGTGACTCACTAAACAGGTAAACACTGGACATCTGACCACAAAACATATGGTCAGCCTCAACCTCTGAGCTCGCTCCAAGGAAACACTTGTCAAATGGCTGTAATTTTAAGTCATCATTGTTTAATGGTATGAACAAATGAATGTCAACCACTGACATCATTTAACAGATAGAAATTTTGTATTATCTCAGATTAATAAATTTTTTTTTTCTGTTTTCATTATCAAAATACTTTTATTATCTATTTAACATGAAAAGTTTTCATTCAAAGTACTACGGCTTTTCAATATTCATTTCCTCTACTGATGAATCGGGAGAGAATTTGACCACGTAGATTTGTTAAATTAATTTACTTACATCACTTGTATTGACAAGCCAAGACATCTCTGTGTGAGAAACAAGCTTTCCGTCAACATAACATCGCAGCTCTGACTTACTCCAGCGATTGTAAACATATACCAGAGTCACCATGTACCACTGTGGAGATAAGGGAGATAACCCTATTTAATTTGAGTAGTTACTGCAATACAACCAGTATGTAGCTTCTTTATAGCATTTATACTTGTGGTCTCTTTAGAGAGGTGGTCTCTTTATAGACATAGGCCCTTTATAGAGGTGGTCTCCTTATAGAAATAGGTTCTTAATCAAGGTGGGCTCTTTACAGAAGAGGGCTCTTGATGAAGTTTCTCTGTGTATTTGATACTTATGATACTACATCAACACAAAGGTGGATGTCTCTTGAAGGAAACTTCATGAAAAGCTAATTTTGACATACTTGTATATCAAATACTTGTTACCCAGCCCCAGGAATGGCTAGACATCTAACTAAAGTTTTTTTGTTAAAATATTTCAAATAGATGATTGCCATTTCCCAATCTAAATAAATCCTAATTGTAAGTCCTGCAAAATGTTCCAAAAATGTGATTCTTGAAAAACACTTTGTATAGGGTTGTCATGGTAACAGACCTTTCGGGGCTGGAACTCATGTTTGACACAGTGCTGGAAGCCTTTTCCTTTGACTTTCATCGCAGTCAGTACGAGGGAATTACCCAAGAAGTTGGCCGAGTATCCAACACCTTTGTTTGTCCTGAAGCTGTAGTGAATAATACAGTATGTCTGTCAAAACCCTCCAACATGTAAACAATGTGCCGTCATAAAAGAAAATACATTCAACAGTCTGTACAGATATTTTCCCAGCATTCAAAAAGATGTGCTTCACAAAAAATAAAGGCTTTAGAAGCAGTTAATTTCGGTTTCATATAGAGTTGACTAAAATGGCATTCAGTTTCAGATTCTTTTGAATACCTAATAATTTACAAAACATACACATTTTGTCATGTTTATCCATATTTGACAAATAAATCCTATAGTGTCCCCTCACAGAAATGTTTGTTATTTTCTAAACAAAAAACTAAAAACAAATGATATCAGTAACATTTTTCATAACTAATTAAATATTGTCAATCACTTTAGACTTTGTGTTCTCTGAAGAAAGACTGCTGATTAGACTTTTGACAAAGAGCTGATGTTGGTCCAGGGATAACATGTTGTATGATAAAAACCAAAACTTCTGTTTTCCCTACAGAAATACAGAACAATTGTTTCCAAATTACAAGATTACTTATTATATAATTTTGGAGCATGTCACTGAATGTAAGACCACTACACTCACCAGTACAGGTATGGTCGCTCTCTCTCTACCGTAACCCCGGTGACAGGGTCGAGTCGTAACCAGCAGGAGAATGTCCAGCCATTCTGATACGGCCAGGTCTTTATTGGTGGGAGACTAATATGCTACAATAGGAAAGATTGAATTATCACAAAATTAAAATCACAGCTAAACGGTAAATAATAATCAGGTCACAAATAGTTAAGTGTCCAGGAGTTCATAATCTTAGATTTTGTTTAATCATCAAACAACATATGGTATTCTACTGTAACTGTGTAGATTGACTACCACATACATGTGAATGTGAAAAGACATAGATCCAGGGCGATTTATTACTTTAATGGGTGTTATATTTGGAGGATATGTCTTACATTTTATTCATTGGGTATGAAGTTATTCTATGGCTGGATGGGACTTTGATTCTATTTAATAGGTTTGAAGTTATTGAAGTGATTACTGTGTATGCAGGTACATGCTTAGCACTTCATTTCTTATGAAATATAAAGTGCACAAGATTTTCTAGATTATATCTATCTCCTATGAATGTAGGTTATTGAACAGAAAACATACCAATGTTGACCTCTAACCAAGTCATTGACAGTACAATATATATAACTGTTCAGTGATGTTCTCCATCTTAATCAGCCAATCAGTCAGTATCAGTAGTATGCTCACAAACCGAAGTCCTGGTCAAACCCTAAACTTCTGAGCAACTTTTCACATTTAAAATCTCTAGTGATCTGGACATCTTTACTATATTGTTAAAACATACAACAGATACCAGAACCATCTTTGCTATTGTTTACTTCTGAAATTTATATATCTTTTTCTTTCTTTTCTCTTCTTTCTTCCATTTTTGCTTTTAATCAAATGAAATTTAAGAAATAGCAATAATAACCTCTTATTGTCAAATAAAAAATGGCCACATGTCAGCCATTTTGTTTTGCTGATCAGACCGAAAATCAAAAGGGCACAACTAGGGAACGTGAACCTTCACAATTATAAAATCTGAGAAAGATAAACAGTGCTTCTGAAGAAATCGAGTAACAGGAACTTTTAATGGACAAACCACGGACTAAAGACATACAGCAGTTTGAATAGCCCACCATCAACAGATGGTAGAAAAAAAGTAGATCATATTCAATAAAGAATATAGTGCCATTTTTCATCTCAAATCAGCAGTTTTCCCCAAGAAAATCCTGATGTTGATTTCTGAGAACATTGTTTCCTGCCTGTCTAGTCAGGAATTCAGTATTTACAGAAATATGTATATATAGACAGTTGTAACATAGCCTGATCTGTAAGTTATGCCTGTCAGTAGCTCTCCGTTATATTACTCCTTAGAGACATACCTTTGTAACATAATGGAATAAATTCCTGATCAAAGAAGGCAGATCAAGTATTACATATGTATCCAATCAAACGTGACAAAGTCATGAATTATTTGTTATGGTAATCAATAGTAATGCTCCACTGAACTTTCTTTCTGATATATTGTTCATTACTTACTTTCAAAACAAACATACCTGCAAATCAAACTAATATTACTACACAGAACTGACAGGAATGTAAAGGTAAGACTACTGCTTCTAATATACCCCAACAGAAGAAGTCAGTTTAAAACTACAAGAAAATTGATCTGAACTAGGGAAACTGGACAAAAATAGGATACTGACACATGTGCGGAAGGGCTTTGAATTTATTAAGACCCCAAACTTGAGTGTTATATTAATATTGAACTTTTTGTCAACTGCTATAAAGGCACAATAATTTGTCTGTGAAATGTTTAAAAATATTTCAAATCTGACTTTCCCCTTTGACCTTGTGGCCTTGGCCTGTATTTGGGTGAATTAATATAATAATATTGCCCTTAACCTTTGACCTTTGAAAAGCAATAGAGAGTTAGCACTTCCAGTGAACAAGCAATGGATTAAGTCTCAACCAGGACTGAGATATTTTGTAGAAACTAATTATCTATTTATAGTAACAGCAACCTTTGACCTTAGGACCTCGAAAATCATTCTCCTGCACTTTTTTAAGGAAGCCTTGGGTAAACTAGAGATGTTGTGCCAAACCAAGAAAAGAGACAGACACATGGACAATCTGATTGATAAGTACATTTTCACTACAGGATCCTAATTTCAAAATTCAAGTATATTTGTTTAGCAAGACACTCTGACAGATTTTTTTTCTACAGTTAAGACATATTTTTTTCTGACTGAAACTTACTGATCCTATTTTACCAGGGAAACTGAAGAACTCATCAGGACCATCCCGTCGAGGCATCAGGTTTAGAACAGACAACAGCTTCACCGAATGTTGGGGCTAAAAGAGCAAAAATCAATTGTATATGCATATACTTTAAATAAAAATAAAACGGATGAAATATTGTAACTATCAAATTTCAAATGCAATCTTCTTAAACTGTCGACAAAGCAATTGCACACATCTTCCCTTTGAAGTCTTTGCATCTTGAAAAGCCATGAAATGGTCGTTTTTGTGACCGTTTCAGCAATAATTTGATTGAACTTTGCAGAACACTATTCATCTATATTCATTTAAGAACATCTCTCTCAGTAAAAAAACTGATCTTTAAATGAAATCAATATCACTAATATCTTTTATTTCCCTGAACAAGCAAAATTGCCTTTCAAAAACTGATCCTGCAAGTTGTAATGGTTTCTGTTGTCATGGATACTGACCCATTTGCCATCTGTGGCCTTGAGTAGACTGAAGAGCATTTTAAGTTCCCTGACAGTGATGCTGTATGTGGCCAATACTCCCAGCATCTCCACCATTAGATCTGAAACATAATGCAGACCCTGACCATATTCTTAATAACCTGCTGGATAGCATAGTAATCCCTGATAAAGCAAGACCTTGTTACATTACAGCTTTTTTTAAGAAAAACTTATACTGTTGTGAAGTATCTTGGCAACACATAAAGCAATATTTCTAATATGCATAATTTCTTATTAATCAAGAAAAAATGGGAAACGAAAGTTAATACCCTTGTGACCTTGAAAATATGGGCCAATGTCACTTAATCTATTCAAACAATATTAAAAGGTCATTTGAACCCCAGAATATGTTCAACAAATATCACAACTCAAAGTCTACAGAGAACAGTATATATCAATAGCTTAATCATCCACAAGTATCGACAAAAATACCACACAATTACGGAAAAGGAAACGCACAGAAAACTATGGCTAGAACATGTATTTATACGTAAATCTACAGTTCCACACTTCAGAGTAGCCAGACACCTACAGATTCAGTTTTAATGCTGCACATTACCTTCAGTAACGAGGTACAGCGATGGTACTTAACTATGCCATCTTATTCATAGACCACTTTGAAACCTACTTTTTCAAAACGTGTCACAAAACATCTATAGTGTGGTGGAGATATATAGCCGGTCTCTTTCTCATTAGGCCACACTTAAGAGAGGACCTAACATTCTTCACCCTGATATTAATGCAATACCATGACACTATCAGACTATCTACTGAGATTAAAGTCATACAGAAGTGAACTTCTTGGACACTGCTGTTTTCATAGAAATGGCCACTCAATAAATGATGCCAAGGTTAGCTGAATTACGACATCAATTGATGACATCAACAATCATATGTGAACAGAATTGTTTGCACATACACAGAGTTACCTTAACAAACAACAAAATTATTTCAATTGTCCTGACGAAGCCCTCCCCCTAACGAAACGGTTCAGCTCTGATAAATATAGTTTAAAGCACCATGAATGTCAGGCTGTGTTGTGATTGCACCTCCTTGTCCATATCTCAAAGTTTTGTGTTTTCAGTGAAAAATCTTACTTTACAGTAACAATGTTATAATTTAGTAGGAACATATTGAAATATTCTACAACATTAATGAGATATAAAAAGTATGAAATATTTAACCATTATAACATAATTCTTGCCATCTCTTAATGTTATCTAATGCCTCACATAACAAACTGGTACCTCTACTCCAAGAATATGATCAGAAGGTACACACAGAATGGAAGAAAACACCTATCGGTTCCACAGTAATCCTACTCTAATTATGCACCCCCATGCTATATACGATGTTTTATCAAATGAACACTGATTTTTCTCCCACAGGAAAGATTAACACCATCAGCATTAAGATACCAAAGCTCTAACACAATGGTTTTAGAAGTGTAATTTCAAACTTTGCCAGTTCTACTCTATACAGACAGGATTCTTTCATAGAGAATACTAGACAAATTCTATTAAGACTAGGAGTGAACTGTCTTCCCTCAATAAACTTTTTTTTTATAAAATGCTGCTAACGGAAACACATGACTTAAAATGAGATCTAACCCGTATCTTCTAAATTTTATTTTTGTCTACTGAAAATTCCTCTCTCCAATAGGAAATCAAAATGTGATCATGATATCCCGTAAGGATTGGTTAAAGACATCATACAGATGTCCAGACTTTGAATTTTTAAAGAATCCTGGTCCTGGTTAAATTCACTTTGAGAAATCAGCAAGAGTGTTAAACATACATGACACTTAACTTTAGCTGTTATTTGTCTCCTATCTAATTTCAAAAGATAAATTTAAAGAAAGAATTTATTATGGATATCGTAAGTACATTTACAGATATTTAACAAATCAGATGGAGGACATCAATATACAGACACATATCTAATCTATCAATAAAGCTAATCACATGAAATATAAAATTCATAATGACAGAAATAGACACAAGGCTAAGATGGCCAAACTCCAACTCAGACAAAGTGGTCTACACAAATCTATAAATAGATGACCAACCGGCTATGACATCTTCCGTGTCCTTGAGGAGGTTGAGGGCATGTTCTATGAGCCCAACTTCTGTACAGGCCTGGAGATTTCGACGGCTCTTCTTCAACATGGCTGTGAACACACTCCATATCTCTGCCTGTAAATCATATATTGAGGTCTCAATTTATGAATATGATCTAACACATTGTCAAAAATTAATTTTGACTTCATCATGTGTTTAGAAAATTTATTTATTCAAAAAGATTGAATATTGGTGTTTGAAGAACTGCAAACAGACAGACATTCTACCATTTTCTTGTAATAAGCCCATCTTGTAATGTAAAACCAAACTTCCTGCGTTTATATATGTAGTTTATGCAGCATTACAAAATTTTTAAAATGGTTAATCTTGTTTGATAACCTGGATGTCAATTACATGTATCCAGATATATACCGTATTTCACTGCAAATAAGCCCCCCCACCACTTTTTCCAATTTGCCAGGAATAGGGGGTTATTCACAATTAAGCCCCCCCACCCACCCCCTTTTTTCGAAGATACAAAACAACATGTGCGACGATAAAGCAGTATTTACATCTAATCGCCGGGTGTAATTATTAAGGGTCTGTTTTTGTAGTGTTCACAGGTGACCACTTTTTTGTTATTTAAACTGGTGAAAATAAGCTAACAATCACGGCGACTGAGCGAGAGGGCCTCGCTTAAAACACGCTAAAACAACACAGTATGGACTAGTTAGAGACTCCAAATACAGTTGAAAATATTTCAACTTCAAACAGTTGAAAATGGCTTTAAACTTGATAAAAAAAATTATGATAATTCTTTTCATACAAAATGTATCATTAATTCTGGTCTACATGTCTTTGTTACCTGCCTGATCAGATCACTACACATATTGGATACTGATGCAGGAAATGTCCTCATCATTCAAAATATAACCATAAGCATGGAAGTGATATAAAGCATTTTAATTTGTATATAACATATAAACTAAAGACATATCATAATAGCTTGATATCAGGTAATGACACTAACAGCAGGTAAAACTAGTCAATGAATTAATCTGTAACACAAATTAATATGTAGCTGTAACACTATGATGCATGATCCAACATCCAATTATGGTTTACTTCTGCCTGATCTACCGTTTTAGGCTTTTAGCATCGTTACCTAGGAACTATATTGCCAACAATATCTATATAGGGTGTTAGAAGGTCATTGTAAACACTATATACTGTATTGATTTTTAACATTTTTCTTTCCCTTTAAATTCTTATGATTGCAATTACATGCAACTACAGCAAAATCGAAGCAAATTGTAAATGCAAATTACAGTATACACATGTATGTACTGACAGTAAAAATGCAAAAATCAATCCTTTTTTATCTGACCAGGTCTGGTTTTTACCTCGCTACATGCATATCTAAAATTTATATTATATTTTACCTGGTTTTCTGATCACTTCTCCAGCATCTTTGACAATATTTTGATTTTTTTAATACTTTTGATTTAATTGTCATGCAGTTGATGTAGATGAGTACATCTGAGTTGAGCTAAATACCTTGATTTGATCCAGTTGTATTGACCTTGACATGTTGAATATGACCTTAGTTATTCTTATGATTTTCTGTCTAGATTTAAACCTTGTCAATTTGACTTCTATGCCAACAATTCTGACTCCCTAAAACTCGGAAAATATCTAACCCCAGTATTTAAGATACTGTATCCTTACCTGATATTTGTCTTTCCAATTTTCTATTTTACTTAGAGTATACAGATAATACAACTGTTAACATCTTTGATTCAATATCAAACATTTTTTATTTAAATATCACTAGCTTTGAGCTGCATATTATTTTGACCTTGAAATGCTTTGATTTGACCTTGACTAGTTTTTACTTGACCTTACCTGCAGTGTGATTGGACAGTTGGTAAGGAGACGGAGTGTATGGAGGATATTCTGTGGCTCCTTAATGATGAAGTTACTCTCAATGTCAAACTCTTCTCCAACCAGCTGTAATATACAAACAAGGATTATCAGGGGACATTACTGAGAGATTCATTTACAGATACACCAGAATATTCATATGAATGATAAAGGGGACACAATAATGCTATCTGTGGGTGATATTCGAACAGGAATAAATGTTTAAAATGTCACAGAAGAAATGGTCAGATAAATAACAAAAGGGGAGATAACTACATTTTCAGAGTTGAAAATAATAAAAAATCCCAAAGGAAAAATGTCTAGATAAATATCAAAAAGAGGAGAATACACAAAAGCCACAGAAATTAATGAAATCTGTATCATACACATCAGAGCAACTTATCACAACAAAGATCTGATTGTCTCCCTTTGTAGGCCAAGATCTCAAACAGCAAGAAACATATTAAATCAATTGGTATTTTAGGGACAATTTCACAAGCAACATAAACAATTTATGAAAAAGAACAACAAAGATAAAGTGATTTATATTTCAGAAATGTCAACTTCAGCATGTGGCTATGTTTCTATAGTTGATAGCAAGTAACAACATATCTTTTTCTTGGGGGATCAAAGCTCTAGATCAATGTTGACAATTGACACTATTAACATACAAATTCAAAACACTCATTCAGCATGTAATGTTTGTACTGAACTCTGTTGAAATGAAAACCAGTCAGGAATACTAGTCAACTGAATATCCTTTGATAATTAAAAATATTGTTCAATATTGTTGCAACAATAAAAACATTTAAAAAGTTTGATTTTTTTCTAAAAGATTCCACTAGAGTTGATCATTAGTGAAGATTAAAATCTGCTGTAATGCAGTAATCAATCACATTTCAGTCAGAAACATGACAGTGATTTCCCGTTACATAACCAATGTTGAGGGATTTATGATATTTCCCTGACAGAATTTGATCAAACTGAACACTTCTTCAAGACCGGAGTGACTTAAGACTATTAGATTGGCAAAGCTAATGATTGAACATTGTTCTGAGTTTTTTTCCGGAGATTGAATTCATATCGACATGCAGACTTTTTTGTAATGGGGGTGAATGTTGTGACATGCTGCTTGCAGTTCCTCAGTGTTACGGTGCACATGTCTCCAATAAAGACATCACAATGCTGTAGCTCACCAGATAAAAGATGGCAGACAAGCCAACTCTGATTATACTGAATGACTGCTGTGAATATCAGTGTTAACTTAATGTCACTATTAAAGTTGAATCATGCTAAGAATCACCAGCTTTCCCATGAAGTGCTTTCCCATCACAACATTGTCCTTAATGCCAATGTCTACCCTATTTCAAGCATGTTTGAAAACAAGAGGCCCATGGGCCTTAACAGTCATCTGACAAAAAGCAAGCCAAACCTAGAAAGTGGGTTGAGGTCATTCATTTGAACAAACTTGGTAGCCTCTCCTCCAAGCATCTTACAGGCCCAATATCAGCACTCATGGACTTTTGCTTGTTGAGAAGAAGTCGTTTGTATATTTTAAAATATTTGACCCCTGTGACCTTGAAAGTGGGTCGAGGTCATTCATTTGAATAAACTTGGTAGCCTTTCCTCCCAGCATGCTACAGACCCAATATCGGCACTCATAGACTTTTGCTTATTGAGATGAAGTCCTTTGTATATTTTAACATATTTGACCCCTGTGACCTTGAAAGTGGGCCAAGGTCATTCATTTGAACAAATTTTGTAGGGCTCCATGCCAGCATGCTATGGGCCAAGTATTAGCACCCTAGGCCTTCTAGTATTTGAGAAGAAGTTATTTAAAGATTTTAACATATTTGACCCCTGTGACCTTGAAAGTTGTTCAAGGTCATTCATTTGAAAAAAACTTGATAGCCCTTCATCCCAGCATGCCACAGGCACAATATCAGCAATCTGAGACTTTTGGTTATTGAGGAGAAGTCGTTTAAAGATTTTAACATATTTGGCCCCTGTGACCTTGAACCTGGGTCAAAGTCATTCACTTGAACAAACTTAGTAGCACTTCATCCCAGCATGTCACAGGCCAAATATCTACACTCTGAGCCTTCTGGTTAATGAGAAGAAGTTGTTTAAAGATTTTAACATATTTGACCCCTGTGACCTTTAAAGTGGGTAGAGGTCATTCATTTGAATAAACTTGATAGCCTTTCCTCCCAGCATGCTACAGACCCAATATCGGCACCCATAGACTTTTGCTTATTGAGATGAAGTCCTTTGTATATTTTAACATATTTGACCCCTGTGACCTTGAAAGTGGGCCAAGGTCATTCATTTGAACAAATTTTGTAGGGCTCCATGCCAGCATGCTATGGGCCAAGTATTAGCCCCCTAGCCCTTCTAGTATTTGAGAAGAAGTTATTTAAAGATTTTAACATATTTGACCCCTGTGACCTTGAAAGTTGTTCAAAGTCATTCATTTGAACAAACTTGATAGCCCTTCATCCCAGCATGCCACAGGCACAATATCAGCAATCTGAGCCTTTTGGTTATTGAGGAGAAGTTGTTTAAAGATTTTAACATATTTGGCCACTGTGACCTTGAACGTGGGTCAAGGTCATTCACTTGAACAAACTTAGTAGCACTTCATCCCAGCATGTCACAGGCCCAATATCTACACTCTGAGCCTTTTGGTTAATGAGAAGAAGTTGTTTAAAGATTTTAACATATTTGACCCCTGTGAACTTTAAAGTGGGTCAAGGTCATTCAATTGAACAAACTTGGTAGAGCTCCATGCCAGTATCGTCTGTGCCAACTATTAGCCCCCTAGACCTTCTAGTATTTGAGAAGAAGTTGTTTGAATGAAAAGTTTACGCACGGCGCACGGCGGACGACAACGGACGAAGCATGATGGCTATAGGTCATCTTGACCCTTTGGGTCAGATGACCTAAAAAAAAAAATGCAATTTGTTTTACAACTAATGACAAATACTGAAAAATCATATACAAACACTTAGTCAAATAGCTGAACAGTAGTAACCACAGATGGAGCTCAGATACAACACAGACGTAAAGAATAAAGGACAGCGAAGGAAATTTATTCAACCATCTTTAAAAAGTTGATGTAAATTTTTTCTACATAAACATTTCTTTAATTCCTGCAACTATGAAATAAACATGAAGTATGGATGTATATTATATACAAAATGGTGTCTGATTATTCATTATTCATTTTTGTAAACCACACTCTCTCTAAACTGTCCAAAATGTTCTTGTGTCAATCATTGTCAATTTGGAGAAGTTTTCATGGTTACAATTTCTATTCTGTCAACATTTTTTTGGTCCTTTTTCTCGATTTCCTATTTTGGTAAAAAAATCTGCATCACCTCTGAGTATGGGCCCATATATTGTGTCGATATACAGTAACAAGTTGATTTATCAAGGAAAACAGAGCAAGAAAATCTATCTCAATTATGCCCTGCAATTACAAACGTGTAATATAGATTTGGACACGACAGTCCTAGCAGGCCACAACAGATGTGCAGGATCACAGATCACTAAACCTAACCCCTTGGTCTGAACCTATCCCTGATCCGTCAATCAAAACCGACACCTTCTATGGCAGAAGTTGACTGGGGTAAAGAGATTTTGGCACAGCGATGCTAGATGATTCCTCAGAGGTGTCAGGCAATAGGACAGTTGTAATAGAATGGCTGTTATCTAGAGCCTCTTGGGAACCGAAAAAGGTTATCATTTGCAAGTCTTGAACTAGAAACGTGTACACAATCAATACCATAATGACAAAATTCCTATGGACTCCTCACCCAATACCAATTAGCTATGTTTACCCTCATGGAGTCTTATGTCCCCTACGAGTGCAAATATCATGACGAGGATATCAATATCAATGACACAGTACCATCAATTCATAGTACTCAGAATTAATCAAGACTTTCTTCTAGGATTACTTAATCATTAAACAGGAATGTTTGGTATTGAAACAAGTGCCCTTAATCAGAAAACTAGATATCCTTAAAAGTTTGAGTTTCTGCAATTTCACACATAACAAGACTAAAGGCAAATGTAAAAGAAAAACATAGTTCTTTGAGATTAAACCAGACTTCCATATATATACAAAATTTACAATATTTTCACTATGGCTCCTACTATTTCTGATCTCTAATTCATTAGATAATGTCACCATATTTCCTTCTAGATAATTGATAATTATAAACATGAATATTTTGGTTTTTTTATACGCGCTTTGTTTTAAGAAATATTTTCAATTCAAGGAACTTTGATACACATTAACAAACCTTGAGAAATCAGCACAATCAACCTTCATCAAATAAAACTAAAAGACAAAAAATATAAGTTATGACAGAGCCAACATCATGATCAGTACAGTATCAAAAATATATTATTCATAAATCATGAGCACCAAATGTACCTTGCCTACGAAGCGCAAACTTTTTATCTTCAAAAACTTGAAAAAGTGTCATGGCGGTGGGTGTGAAAAACCTGAAAAAAGTGTCATATCGGTGGGTGTGCGCATGGGACGAACAGTCCAATTCGGTGACGTCTACTGAGGTAAAGTGATGTTATATATTAAGACGATCTTGCCACAACGACAAGGATTAAAACAAAACTGATGTTCTGTTTGTAAGTTTTGTTTGTTTATAAGTGCTGTTAGTTGATAATTCAAACCAAGCCCCCAGACTAGGTTCTTATCATTGCGCCAACTCGCGCGTACAGTGTTCTGTACGCTTACATCATGTCGAGAATTCCGTAAAATATATTGTTCAAAATTTATCAATAGTTCAACCACACTGTGCTTCTTTTCTGAGATATATAGTTATCGTATTGTTATTAAAAAAAAAAACTAATTTTGGATGCTTTTAAAATAGCGATTTGAAAGATCGCGGCATTATTTCAGCAGAAAATTGCCGCTAGAGGGCTCTAACTCTTTTCGATATTTCAACCAATGAGAAGGCCAGGATCGGTAAATTTTGTCTGAAAGGCCATAGCAATAGGCTATGCGTACTGAGTACGTTTAGCCTAAAAAAACTATACTAGAGGTTCTATCTTAAAAT